TGGATTATTCTGGCGCGCTCCTTCAGTCTCTCTTTGAGCTCCTCCCGGTAATAGTCTGTGCGTGCTTCTTTCGCCAGTCTCTCGGCTCTTTTTGCCTCCCGAGTGGCTTGTACCACCTCCCGAGTCCGCCAAAAAGAGCTGTAACCGCAGTTCGACTTCTTTTGGGGGGTGCTTTCTGATGGGCTTCCATGGCGGAATTCAAGGTGCCAAGGGACTGGACCTCAATCGTCCTCATGTTCAGTTAAGATACTTGATATAGCAAGGGAAATTGGGCGTTGAGAGGTTGGCGATCGGTCTCGCGTGTCTACTGTATCGAAATGTGTTTACTCGGTAACGTTACCTTATACATCCAGTTTCCAACAGCTACCGATGTGTACTATCTACAACAGTCCCCCAGGAGCTGGCTTTTCTAGGCTGGGTATCTAAGGTACATTTGCTTGCCTTTTTGGGCCATGTCACACGTATTAGTCCCGAGTCCAAGGTGAGAACGTGAAGGTACCGTATCATGCCACATTGGCGAATGCCACAAGTCCCGTGCTCATCAAGGCAAGGGCTTCCAAAGTATGACCGTGGCGAGAAACACTAGCCTCACTGGTCGTTGTTGTTGTGGTCGTTCGCGCTGTTGCCGTTGTCGACGCACTGGCCTCGCCGGTCGTGGCAGTCGGCGCCGTAGTGTCGCTCTGGGTTTGGGAATGCGCCTCAAGATAGCAGTTTGCATGGGCCGTGGCAATTTTGAGCCACTCGCGCTCGTGCGGGTAAATATTTCTCCAGGTAACGGGACAGCTGGTCGAAAGAATGGAGATGGTAGAGCTCTTGGAAGTCCAATAAGACACCACCTCGGAGACGTAGGTCGAGTAGCTGGAAAGGATATCCGGCGGTGCGGCAGTGGTGAAGCCGCACCAATCTTGCGGGTTCGACACGGTGCATAAGACATAGTCATGGCCGGTCGCCGTGGCTCTACATTCTTTGACCACTTCCTCGCCGTACGAGCCGATGGCAGAGAGAACGTTCCCGGTAGGCGTAGGCAGGTTGACGAAATACTGTGTGATGTTCTCGGTTACACACTGCCAAGGGTCCGGCGAGAGCGTGCTCCGAGAGATGGAGAGATGGAGAGGTGGAGACATGCGGCCCTGATCGAGCCGCTGCCTGCTGACAACTACCCGTCCGGTACAAGTATATGCTCTTCCGCAATCGAAGCCCTCTGGCGAACCCTCATCGGCGACCGCGACGTTTTCGACCACAAGTGCCCGGCGCCGGTCGGGTACGGGGCGTACTACCAGATCCTGAAGACGCTGGTGCGCATGAAAGGGGAGCTGGACCGGCGGATTGCGCACGGCGCGGACGGCGACGCCTCGCTGGTGCAGCTCTGTGGCGAGGACGGGATCCCGACGGGGCGATTCTGCCGCGGTTGATGGCGGATAAGAGCGAGTTTGCGCGGGCCATGGCCCGGATCATGTTGGGCAGGCGGCTATTTGTTAAGAAGAGGGGGTATATCGGGGCCGGGCCGCTGTCGGCTCGGGTGGGGGATGCGGTGTGTGTTCTTGCCGGCGGACATGTTCCGTTGGTGTTGCGAGAGGAGCATGGCGGTAATGCAGATGGCTGTGTGACTTTGATCGGAAATTGCTATGTCCATGGAGTGATGCTGGGAGAGGCTGTTGAATGGCCGGAGTTTTCATGGAAGGAGATTTGTCTATGTTGATACCAGATTTGATGCATACAAATCGACAGCGGAATATTGCTGGGAGAGAAAGACGCCCACTCAACCCGCCAAGCTCGCATGTGCTTGACGGCTTGTAAACCAACCCTGCCTTCTTTCTTCCGGCAGATGCCCGTGATGTGACAATCAGTCAGAGCCAGAGGGACTGCTGTCTTCTGACTCCGTCGTCCCTCCTGCTTCCCAGAACGCCTGCTCACCTGCCGTCCAGGAGGGACAGAACTGGCTGGCGACCTCGTGGGAGTTATTGTACTCGTCAAGAAGGGCGGGAGTCCGTATCGGAATCTCGCCCTGCGCGATGACCGAAGAGTAAGAGAGGTCCTGAGAGATGGTGGAGAACGGGGAGTTAGAATGACTTCTCGCAAGAGCCATTTTGCGAGCTGCGAGGGCGTCACGGAGATGAAGGAAGTTTCCAATCACAGCTGGTACATCGAAGTCAGCTACCCTCTCACGTCGCAGGTATCTCAGTAGTTGTAGGTAGAGAAAGAGGAGAACTGAAGGAAAGGACGCACCTTGAAAGACTTCCATCTGGTAGCACCCGTAGCTGAACGCGCAGCGAACAACCTCAGCAACGAAATGATGCTTCATATTTCTATCGGGCGAGGCAGCAAATCCGATGAGAATCCTGCGGACGATCATTTAAGCTTACAGGCCCAAAACACATGGACTGGAATGGTAAAGGGGACAAGAGAGAGAACTTACACCCAAACGTAAACGTACGGCAACCCCGCCCACGCCTTCAAGCCCATAAACCGGGTGTTATGATAAATCGCCAGAAGATCCGATGTATTTTCCGGGTCTTCAAACCCATCCAAGTATCCTGACAGCGTCCTGCGCATGATTCTCGCAGCGAACGCGCAGGTGTCCAGAAGGAGACGAGGTACGTTATTCCCGGCAGTTGGGCTGTCTGCTAGGGCGTCCACAATTCGACCATCATTTCCACATGTGTTTTGCATGGCCGAGGGAAGGAAGAACTGCCGGAATGAATCGTTTGCAGCCCGAAGAACGGCAACTAGCTGGACGTGGATCGCTGGATCGACGTACTGGGCGGCGAGAGAAAAGTCCTCTTTGTCGCAGAGAAGCAGGGGGCAAGAACGGAGTTCGTCGCCCTCCACGAAGCCGTCGGCCGTCATCAGGCGCATGATCGGGGCGGGGCCGAGTAGACTGAATGCTAGGGGCGTACCGAGAGTGAGGCACTGAAGGGTGTCGGCCCTGTTTGAATAATCACGACGAGGTTAGACGCTGGCGAGGGAGGACATCAAGTCGGAGGCACGTTACATGATAACGATGTGCTGCATAACATCCGGCATCTGCTGCAGGCCACCGCGGGTTTTGATGAAATTCTCAACGGCAGCGAGATGGGTGATAGCGCGGGGACTGAAACGGAACAGCTATAAGGTTTATGACGAGCGTCAGCCGGGATCCGTCTCACAGCGATAATGGAAAGGTAATTATTCACTGACCTCAAACATGGCCAGAATGACCACGGGATACACGACCTCGTGCAGCTGCCTCCCGCCGGCGCCATCGATGAACTTCTGCAACTCCCTCACGGCCTGATACTCAAAGTATGGGTAGGCGATCTCTTGGGTCCCGCGAGACGCGTCGAGCACGCCCGCCGTCCATAGCCAGCCAATGTAAATGCAGGCTGCCTTGGACAGGTCCGGGCGGAAATAGCTCGGTTGGCGGAACCCGACGAGGGCGAACCCCTCGTCAAGATAGGACGTGTATGACCCGCATCGGCAGAGGTATTCCTGGAAAGTGCGGGCGTCGATGCCCGTCATGTGGGTGGACTTGGGGGGTGCACCGCGGAGGTCCCACACGTTTATGTTCAGCCATTGCTGGTCCCGTCGAGCAAGAATCTTGTCGCGGTTGCTGCGGCGGCTGTTGGCCGCCGCCGCCGGTTGGCGAGACCGGGAGCTCCCGCTGGCTGCCTGCGGTGCGGCCAATGTTGCATCGCCCTCATCCTCGGGTAGGGCTCTGCCGCCCCCGTTCTTGTCTGGGGCCGGAGCTAAGCTGCGAGGCGGACGGTCAGGTTAGAGAGCATTTTCCCAAATAGGACAATGCTGAATCCGAGCCAAACCCAATCCGAGGGTACAGGCCGTGGGCGAGTACAGTTACTTACGGGCGAGGTGGTTCTTCAAGAGCGGGTTTATTAGCCTGTTTGGCCTTCTTCTGCTGGTCGCGGACCAGAATCATGACCTGTGATCTGACAACCTGCTTCTGCTTCTTGCCCAGCTTTGGGCCATCATAGCTCACAAAAACGGGCATTTTTACTCGATCAGTTTTCGCACGAGTTCCAGTCGAAGGTGGGATGATAGGAGGAGTGCCAAAGCCAGACAACACAAGGTGTGAAAGTACTTTTTTTCCAGGGGGAAATGATGACAGCACTTAGAGCGAAACCACCCCCTCGAGGGAAAGCGGCGGTCACGGTTCACGTGTTGTTGCGACTTGAAGATGAAAATGCATCGCAGTCGTCGATCCCACCATACTCCATAGCGGTTGAGCCTCGCGTCACTTGGCGTTTCTGCCAAGCTTGCGCCAAGTTGGGTTCGTCAAGACATGATTGGAGCTGAGCGATTTCCGTTTTGGGGATAATGCATAGCTTGCCGCTCTTTGCCACTTTTCAGCTCGGCGCTGGTCGGTCCGGTCCGGTTATCAGGGGGAAAGGAAACACTCCCATCACTTGTCGTCGTGCTCCTGCGCTTGCCGCAACTTCATCATCCGCACGACATCTCCACGCCAAGCAAGCAGGTACGCTAGGGAAGTGGGTGACCTCTCCCCACATCGCGCTAATTGACCAATGGCCTTTCTGCTTGCCGCATAATGGCCAAGCCTGCAGTTCGCAAGCTGAGAAGAGTCGCTTAGTCGCTTGCTAGTCGAGAACTCGAGATGGGTTTCCCCCTGAGCCCAGACCCATCCCGCACTGGGTGCGGTGGTCTAGCGCTGACGGCATCCTCACCACCAGGATAAACAATGCAAACCAACGTCCCGTCTTGCAGATAGCCTCAGAGTTCAGCTTCCAGGACGCTTTCCTACACCAGGGCTGGGCTTGTCGTTGTCACTCACAGAAAATTCCTGAGGACCCAGCAGAATCCAGCCCCGAGGAATCGCAATGCGGCCAGCTCGCCCACTGCCCCATATAATGGCCATGGTCATCCGGACCTACTTTGCCAGACCTCCATGGTGTCAGTCGTTGCCTGCATTCCTCTCCTTTCTTCCTCGTGCCTGAGTCCTTGGTGTCTTGAGCTCTGCCGCCGGTAGAGCCCGCCCCAGGCCAGAACACCATGGTCCGATGCACAGTTTCCCTTTTGGGGACCGCCTTCGCCGCCCTTCTTCTTGCTTCTGGCGTATCCGGCCGAAGCGTGGCCCTGCCGCCGCAGCTTCAACCGCGGACATATTGCACCAACGCCAAGCAGGTCATCGCCGGGAACACATGCGAAATCATTGCCGAAGAGCGCTGCACCATCAGCTTGGCAACCCTCAAGTCGTACAATCCGCAACTCGACTGTTCGAATCTTCGTGTCGGCCAGAACTTCTGCTGCAATGAAGGCACCGTTCCCCGGGATCCCGACTGCACCAACTCCAAGACGGTCGTGGAAGGCAACACATGCGAATCCATTGCCGACAAGCGTTGCACCGTCTCCCTCGCAACCTTCAAGTCGTACAATCCGCAGCTCGACTGCTCGAATCTCAAGGTCGGCCAGATCTTCTGCTGCAATGCCGGAGCCGTCCCGCTGCCGGAGTGCACCAACATCAAGACCGTCGTCGAGGGCAACACCTGCGCCACCATCGCCGACAAGCGCTGCACCATCTCGCTCAGCAAGTTCCAGGACTACAACCCCGTAAGTCTTATCCCTTAACGTCCGCAATGAACATGGCTGATATCCGGATCCGTTGCCAGCATATTGATTGCTCCAAACTTGAACCCGGCGCAATGGTCTGCTGCATGGAGGGCAAGCTTCCTCCTCTGCCTCAGCCCAACGCAGATGGTACCTGTTCCGATATACAGGTTGCGGGTGAGTTGTGATCATTATCAGTTGTGTTCGCGCCGGTGAATTGACGTCGCTAACGTCGTAACGCCCAGCTGGCGACTCATGCGCAGCACTCTACCAAAAGTGTGGTATCACTCCCAGCCTCCTCACCAGGTATAACCCGGCCACCGATTTCTGCGCAACATTGAGAGAGAAACAGTGGATCTGCTGCTCCTCTGGCACCCTGAAAGACAGATAACCGAAGAACAACGCGGACGGATCTTGCGCCACCTACACCGTCCAGAAGGGTGACATGCGGCATCATCGAGGCGAATAACGGAATGTATCCGGGAGAGCTGGATACATTCAACAAGAAGAAGACCTGGGCCTGGGCCGGCTGCGATAAGTTGTGGCCGGATGCCAAGATCTGCCTCAGCTCAGGAACTCCTCCCATGCCCGCGCCCATCGCCAACGCCGTGTGCGGGCCCCAGAAGCCTGGAACTGGTGCGTGGTTACGACCTCCTTGAGAATTACCAATGGTCTAAACTCACATTCCTGACACACATCCCAGTCAAACCGCCCGCTGAACACATGCTGCAATATCTGGGGACAGTGCGGCACCACCAAGGAGTTCTGTGAGATTACGGGAGCTGGAACCCCCGGCACGGGGACATGCGTCAGCAACTGCGGTATGAACATTGTCAACAACGATGCACCGCCAGCACAGTTCCGCAAGATTGGGTATTTCGAGGCCTGAAACCCCGACCGTCCCTGCTTGTGGATGGACGCCAGCTCAATCGACAAGTCCAAGTTCACCCATGTCCACTTTGCCTTTGCCGACATCACAGACAACTTCCAGGTGGACGTCAGCAAGGTCCAGGCCCAGTTCAACAAGTTCAAGGCTCTGAAGAGGGCCAAGCGTATTGTGGCCTTCGGCGGCTGGACGGCGTCGACAAGCCCGACCACCTTCCATGTCTTCCGTACTGGCGGTTCGTACAAAGCCTCCACAGCTTTCTTTACACGGGCATTCTGTACTAACGGTGTGGCTTTTAGTCAATGCTGCCAACCGTGGCACGCTTGTGAACAACATTGCCAACTTCGTCAAGGAACACGGCCTGGACGGTGCCGATATTGACTGGGAATACCCTGGAGCCCCGACATGCCCGACATCCCGCCGGTGGATCCCATCGATGGGCCCAACTACTTGGCCTTCCTGAAGCTGCTGAGAGCTGCGCTGCCTACCGGAAAGTCTCTCTCGATTGCGGCACCGGCCAGCTATTGGTACCTGAGGGCCTTTCCCATCAAAGGACATCGGAAATCTCGTCGATTACATTGTCTACATGACGTACGACCTCCTTGGACAATGGGACGCCGGCTCCAAATGGTCGCAGGACGGCTGCCCGAACGGCATGTGTCTGCAATCCCACGTCAACATGACCGAGATCTACAACGCTCAGGTCATGATTACCAAAGCTGGAATGCCGGCGAACAAGGTGATTGTCGGAGTGACCAGTTACGGCCGCGCGTTCAAGATGAAAGACCCCAACTGCAAGGGCGAAATGTGCGAGTACACCGGCACGGCGAGTGTCTCGAATGCCTTGCCAGGTCCATGCACCGGAACTAGAGGGAACATCGCAAATGCCGAGATCGAAGAGTTCATCGCCATCCAGGCAGACCAATCTAGACCAGACGGCCTCCGCAAGCGGGCCCACGTCGTTGCTGAGCACGGGCAGCTTCTCGTCGTGGATCATCGGCGTCTTTTTCCACGGAAGTGAGGACGTGCACTGCAGGACATTGCTCGTTGGGAACAACTGCCTGGACCGGCAGGATACCTGCCTTGACAAGGACGACGTCGATGCCCCAAACGGAACAGGGCCCGCGGGCATGTTCATTGCAAATCGTTTGTGAAGCTCGAGCAGGTATGTGCTGTCACCTCGGGGTTAGCGCATGACTGTCACAGGGAACTGACACTTAACGACATCAACCAAGGCATTTGTCAACTATTACGATGCCATCCGAGGCGCTCGGTCAGATGTGGCGGATCTCGTCGAAACTATCAAGGATCGGTTCATGAAGGAAGACGACGATACATTTCAAAGGCAACTGGGGTGGAATATCCTTGGAGCGGTATGGACAACAGCTCAGACGATTGTCAGTTCTCTCAAGTTTACTTGGTTCTAAGCTCACGGCGATTTGGGCGCCCCGCTATTTGGACATCGTAAGCGTGTTATGATTCCAGCCCTGACAGTGGTTTAATGCTCTCCTTACCTGATTTCTCTCTTTCTTTTTACCCTTCCCGACCCTCGTTCAGCTGTCCGTCTCATCCAAATGAGCTAACGTAAAGATCTCGCACTTAGTGTTCCGGAATTCGCTATTGGAAAAGGCTGCAGAATCCGCAGCTCTGGGTATCGTTGCTACTGGCAAGGATAAGAACACGGGGTGAGCCCACATCACCAGGCCTCTCGAGAGGTTACATTGGAGGATACTCTCCAGCTGACGGGTACTCATAACAAACTAGCAATGTCGAGGACGAGCTCAGCAAAGCCGCCAATCTGAAAATCGCGTTGAACGTTATCATGGCCGGTTGGGAGAAGATGGTGACCGGGTTCGCTGCCAAGGTATTCGCCGGCGAGCCTGAAGGAAACGGGCTGCTCTCCGACTTCATGGCCAACGGCGCGTTCATTCCCGGCGGCGTTCCTCCGGGCGAGGAGAGCCCAAGGCTCATGGGGGTTGATGAGATGAAGGAACTGGCCAAACATGCGCTGTTCATGTACATCATCCCCGAGGCGTGGCGGCACAACAAGGATGCCAACGTCGCCATTCTCGACACAGGCCGGGCTTGCGGCGACTTCAGCGACTACCGCCCCGAGAACATCCACTCCGCGGACGCCGAGAAGGTCGAGCTGTGCTTCGACAACAAGCAGTACCTGATGCTAGTGCGATAGGTTGAGAGCGGTGCTGCGACTACCCGTCTGGCGCGCAGTCTCCAACCTGCTGGTCTTGTCTCTGGAGAACACCGCCCGGCCTCGACAACCTGCAAGACTTTGGACTCACCTACCAGGACATCATGACTGCGTAAGAACTCTTCCTTGACACCCTCCCCTCACACACCCTTTCAATTCTTTCTGCCCAGTTTTCTTTCTCGGAGAGAACGGAAACCAACACTTCCCCGTCCCGTCGTTCTTGGCAACCCCTTGATCATGGTTCACGGCTGACAACCAGACATAACAGCTCGCTGAGGACCTGGACGAAGAACAACAAGCAGAATGAATATCAGTTCGACCCTAACAGTCTCGGGTTCAGCAACTTCTTTGATGATGACTCGGACACGGACAAGGTGCTGGACCTTGGCATGGTCAAAATACCCGTCTGCCATGTCGATGAAGCCCGTCGGAATTGGGTCGTGCCTGGTGATGATCACAGGGGCGACTTTTTCTCTTGTTAGATACATCATTTCTTCTGACCCCTGAGGTAGGATTTTTGTACATCGCCGGGCCGTCGCCCATTTTTCCTCTTGTCTTCACACCTTAGCTCAGGTTCATTGCAAGCATTTCGATTGGATTCATTACATGAGCATTAACTGTATCGTGGTAGCTGCGTAATTGTGTGAGCGGCATTACAATGCTCCAGCTTCCACTATGAAGCAGCCGTGTTTGACGTCCCTGGGCGTCCCAGCACCTTGAGACCTCAGGTCATGGTGTTCCTCGACAGTCGCACGCCAAGCAGGCATACACCGCTTGACCCGCGCTGAAATGGGTGCATATTTTACAAGCTTTGGTGGCAAGAAACTCGGTAAGACCGCTTCTGTACATATATAGACAGGGCATCCCGCCCAGGCAGACTGTTCCGTTCAAGCAAGCAATTGGATTCCCTCAGTTGACCACGAAATATGGTACTAGTTGATCTCGGCTACCCGCATTAGGACTCACGAGTGATATCGGCCGCTCGAAGAGGCTTGATTATGGCAGCGGCCGAGAGGTCAGTTCGCCTCGCGACTTCCTGTACTCTGCCAACAAAGTCAATTCCATTCGTGTCTGGAACCTATATCAGCTAAAAGGGAACTCGCCTCCGCCCCTTCTTTTCCGCTTTTTCTCTTCTCGTCTCACCCCTTCCCACGTTAAGGCAAGCCTTGCACCGCATCATGCCCCTCCACTCATTGAAAGCGGGTGAGAACTGCACAGATTCCTTGAAAACCTTCGCATGTTCCAGTTAGCTCAGGAATGAGACGAAGTCCTATTCACACCAAGCTGGTATCGTCACATAAGAGGTCCCCAACGCCAGATGATGCCGACATAGACACTAATCAAGAAGCCACCGCGACACATGACCAAAACCCAACCTTTTCCTCCTCTAACCCGACTCCACATTGAACCATACATATATCCATAATCGAGGTCCCATGATCAAACTAATCAAGCCCACTTCCCCAACAAACTCATCAACGCCATGCCCACCAAAAGCGCAACCATCCCCACCGCCGTCCTCACGGGACTCGCCCTCGTCATCTCGCCGCCCAGCATCCAGTCGTGCGCCCACATCTCGACCACGCCCACCCACACCAGAATACCCGCCGACAGCGCGTCGAGCGTGCCGATCGCGATGACAGTGGCCGGGTCGTTGCCGTTGAAGTTGTGCAGCACCCCGATCCCGATGCCCATCCCCAGCGGCGTGACGACGGCAAAGGCCGCGGCGAGGAATACCTTCTGGCGCATCGACACACCACCACCACTACCACCACCACCACTGCTAGCATCGTGCGAGGCGGCGGCGGCGGCGTTGGTAGTAGGGGTAAGGGTGTGCGTGCTGTTAGACTCGTCAGTTACTGAAGAAGGGTTAAATTTGGGCTCAGTAGTGGCAGCGGCGCCGGGGGGGTTTGCGTCGGCGGTATGGTCGTGGTAGTGCTCGTGGCCGTGGACGTGGTTGTGGCCGCCGTGGCCGGCGGTTGGGGAGGTTGAGGTCGGGCAGGGCCGGCCAAGAGCGGCGATGCGGGTGCCTAGGGCCAGGCCTTCGAACATTTGATGGAAGACGATGACGGCGAAGAGGGTCAGGAAGAAGGCGTCGCCAGCCACGACGAGAGTGAGGCCGATGACTGACACGGAAAGGGGTTAGCTCGGGTTTTTATTGACTACTTTGGACCGACGGAGTTTCTTACGCAGAGAATGGAAGATGACGCCGGCTTCGAGGACACCAATGTTCACCATGTCCGTCTTGGCGGCGGGCGCGTGCCCGGCCGACTCGACGCTGTCGGATCGGGCCTTGGATTCGTGCCACTGGATAAAGCGGTTGCCGGCGTACTCGACGAGGAACGACAGGAACAGGCCGGCCATGAGGATGGCGGCGGCCGTGGACTCGTACGCGAGCTCACCAAGACACTCATTTTGGAACATGAGGCCGGCGTGCGTAAAGAGCTAGAAACGGTTAGCCAACGGTCAGAGTACAGTTTCCGGACGGGCACGCACATGGACGAAGGCAGTCGAAATGATGACGCCCGTGCCGAACTGCCTCAGGACGGTAAACACGGCGTGTTTGGGAGAGATGAAGGAGGCCACGAGGATCGGGGTAAAGACGCCGATTGCGCTGGTCGCCAGCATGACGAACAGGAGGCCGATGCGGAGACGGACGTTGTAGTCTCTCTCGATGCGGGCGCAGCTCACTTGGCTGGACTCGCTCTCGGAGCTGCCAGTACAGTGCCTGTTGCCGTCAGCATCACACGGGTTACTCGAAGGCACTTGACTTACTCTACACCGGCGTGGAAGTGGCAGTTCAGGCCGGCAGAGGCGTGCTCGTCGGTAGTCTCCTCCTCCTCCTCTCCGGCTGCGTGGATCTCTACGTCCTCCCCGTTAGGCGCGACACAGAACCTAACAACAAGTCAATAGTGGTCTGTCAGCGACGCAGTCGGTAACACATACGTCTCTGATCCATGGCTGTGGCACGCTGTGAAGGCGGCTGGGATGTCTTGGGTTGCGGTCACGGTCGTGTGTACCTCGTACTCGGCCGTGCCAGCCATACAGTAGCTTGACAACTGTCAGCATCAAAAGATGGGCAAACAAGCTGGCAGCGACACTCACAGGGCGGAGCCATGGAGGTGGCATTCGGATACGGCGGTAATGGTCGAGGAGACGTCAGGAATCTGAGTAGGGGTTGATGTGACGGTCCCGGAAGAGGCCTGAACGGCAATGATTTGCACTTCGCCCGTTGGCGCCATACAGTATCTGATGGCAGGGTTAGTAGAAAAAGAGTAAAGAGGTTGTCGGGATTGACTTGCGTGTCGGCTCCATGCTTGTGGCAGTCGGTGTAGGATGAAGCGGTGGCGGTGCCCGATACGCTGAACTCGGTTGTCCCTGCCTGGCAGTATCTAGAAGGGCAAAGAGCGTTAGATGCGAGCTTCGTTCAGCGGGATGCCACGACATACTGCACCGTCCCGTGAAGATGGCACTCAGACACAACAGTGATGGTGGTTGGACTAGGTTCCGAAACAGCGGTAACCACGTGCGGCGCACGTTGGCGAAGCGTCCGAGGCGCCGGAGAGATGGCTTGGCCGCAGGAGGCGGCGAGGAGCCCGCAGAGGGCAGACTTCCTGAGAGCAGAAGACAACCGAACCATCGTGAGAGATCAGGAGGAGGCAAGCTTGGCCAGCCCCAGAGTCGGCAAGAGGGCGGCAGGCGATGCACGGAGTGTTTCGGGCGAGGGATCAACTCCTGCCCCGACGAAGGTGACGAGAAACGGGGGATGTCCGGGACTGGCAAGATTTGACAGAAGCGACTTCGCTTATGATTTTCTCGCGAGTGGACTGGTCCGGGGGGCCATACGATGGGCGTCACACAGATGCCAGCGTTCCGTGACAACTGGAAGCCAATCGAGCTGACCTAGCGGGTACCGGGTCGATTCGTGGCTTGGTCCTTGGGAGAGGTGAGGTACTTCGGCTGTAGTTGTTTTGTCCACTACCTGGTATCCCGTATGTAGCAATCTTGATTTTAATGCCTTTTTCAAGTGGGAGACGAGGGAGGTCGTTGCGAGGAGCACAGCAGAACGGCAAGACGAGGGAAAAGTGGAATGGAAAACCGGAGAGAGAGGCATCGCCATGCAAAAATTCGGCACTACAGCCCATCCCACGCGCTGCGGACCTGGAGGGATAAACGGAATCGATCCGAAGAACGCAAAATGGAGAGGCGGTTGCCGAGTTGCGGGCTGGTGGACTCGACAAGAATGGATTAGCTGACGTCTAATTGGACGCCGGCCGCCGCCAAGGCTGCCCGTAATCTTCGAGTGCGCACCTTGACGGCCAAGGCTCATGAGAACCTTGATAGCTGTGACGGAGAGCCAAGACCTCAGCCCCGCCTCCAGCGCCATGCTCCTTCACTTTTCCTGGTGCATCACACATGCGGTCCAACAGCAGAGCTGGAAGGATCCAGATCCGATACCAACACAACCTACGCCTCGAGGGAGCTGCCATCAAGGGACACTGGATCTTTTTCGTCATGGAAAACCACGGAATGTGGCATCCCACGCAGGCTGCCAATACTCCACCCAAAAGGGCCACTCACGCAGAGCAGTGCAACCACGCCAACCGTGTCTTGGACTCTTGGCGATTGCCACCTTTCCGGCAGAGACTGAGCTCATTCGAACCTATTCCTGCAGTGCGTTGCAGGTTTCATTACGAGCCGTGCCGTGGCCGGTGCTTGACCGGCTCGACAGCCCATGTATATCAAGCCAGTCCGCACCATCCGCCGAGAGGGCTCACCAGTCACCGCACTCCACGTCTTCCCACTCATTCCCAGTCAATCCCGTCTACCCGTAACAGCACTCGTTTGAGATCAAAATGAAGTTTACTGCATACGCCGCCGTCCTCTTGGGACTCGTCTCCGTCGCCGTGGCTCAGGCCGAGGACCCCGGCCCGTCCCCGACTGAGTCGTACGGCTGTGAGCCTCATGGCGATCACTGGTGTGTTCCTGCATCTCACGTGTACATAATGCAGTGATACTAAGTCCTGTCTTAGGCACTGCGAGGGTCCTCGCGAGACGTCTGCTCCTCCGGCGGCCGCGACTACCGTCCCCGCCGTTAGCACTACCACCATCACTTCGGCGGCCCATGACGACCACGACGACCACGAGGATCACACTGATGAGGCCGGCACCGGCGCTCTGGCGCCGTCGCCCACCGAGTCTTATGGCTGCGAGCCCCACGGCGACCACTGGCACTGCGAGGGTCCTATCACCGCTCTCTCCACCAGTTCCGCCGACGTCTCTTCTGCTGCGTCAATCACCTCTTCCACCGTCGCCGACTCCACGCTGTCGACCGCTACCAACACCACTATCACGACGGCTCCCAGCAGAACCTCCGCCACCACCCCGGCGTCGCCGTCCCCAAGCACTGCCGGTGCTGCTCACTACGAGGTGGCCGGGCTCGGCTTTGCTGGCATTGCTGGCATTGCTGCCATGGTTATCTAGCGTCGCCGTTTCCGGTTATCGACCTCGGCTCAAGGGAATTGTTTTCAATCGACTCTCGCTTGAGCCGTGTGCGTGATAATGCGGCAACGAAGCACGGCAGGGCAGGGCTAAGCTAAGATTGTATCAAACATAATCATGTAATGTACAACATACCGTTTTTGACTGGGCATACTCCGGCCATAATCTAATCAGCAATCAATCGTTGATGAGTCAAAACCTTCGTCCGAGTTCACAGGCGATCCATTCGCTGAAAACGCCTCACCTTGTGGTGGTTGCTCCGAGACAGCCAGATCCCTTCAGCCCAGTCGGGTTTTCAAGAGCAACTGAAGCTAACATTATGCCCCCGTTTGTCATTGCAATGCGTGAGAATACAGTGCTACCCTGGTTGAAGCGTACTTTGCCGACCAGGGCCCTCCCAAAAATTGATCTCAGCGCCAAAAAGGCGCATTTTTGCGTAACAAAAACAATCTTGTCAGAAAATGATCGAGAGCTCTTCTCTATCCATAGCTTTTCCTCTTACTATTGAACGGAATGATTTTGAAATGGTGATAAGAACACTGTCGGGACAACCAAGCTAACAATTCACTAAACAAGGGTTGAACTGTAGGCGGGACTGAGAACCTTGACGGCCGGCAAACTCGCAGGTCAAGTTCATCCCACCTTCTGAAGTTGGCTTGCAGCGCTTGGCAAGCTAAAATTATCGCGTCAGACTCCTGCTTTTTCCCCAGCCTTCGCTAACCAATCATCCACTCGGATTTCCATGCTGAACCGGAGGCTCATATTTGCCAGCCATGTTGTCAAAGGCTTCTTGCCCTAGCGGTTAATCAGGGATACGAATTACACATACAATGAGATTCACTCAACGGAGACCTACATATTTGGCTTACACTTCCCTACCTTGTTGTCGAGTAGAGCTGAACTATTCCCCGCGTTCATCTCGCAATGTGGCGCTCCGAAATCGCCCGCCCGTCTCGACACCTGTGGCTTGGAAATGGAATGCAGCGATAGGCGATTGGTCCAACTCCAAGGTCACATCCGATGATCGCTGAGGCCGGCCCTTTCCTGGCGACGCCGGCGTTGGCACATCCGGGCCGCGATCAAAGGTTCTGGCGACGGAATGGTTGGTACAAGAGCCCGGAACCGGGAATAGTGAAACTCGCTTTGGGAAAGTCGGAGTGGCGGAGAGAGGTCGAGACACTCGCGGGACGAAGTGCACGGGGTCCTCAAGTCTCTGCAGCCGCGGCGACGTCGACTCGAGGTTTCAGCTCCGCTTTCTTTGCGTATCTCGGCCGGGTCGGGCACCATTCCGGGCCTACGATTTCCGGTCAAACCTCAATTTAAAAATCTTTTCTCTAAACCTGAGGGCGGAAACCAAACGCCGTGGGATACTGAACACGATATTGCGCACCAAGTCGATGCATTGGGCAGAGCGAGGTAAGAACTTCGGGCGTCGCCTGAACTTCGCCGTGCTTCCATGGCAGGCGACATTTGAGATGTTACCAGGGTGGCTCCAGGTGCAACCCCGAACCTGAGCTGCTGCCGGCCGTCAATGTGCGACTCTCGCGTCTAATCGAGTCACAAGTCTGTTCGAACCGCATTCTGCGCTCAGCTACAATCACAGTACCCGATAGCAAGACTGAAAAGCTGCGGGCGAGCCGGTCCATTTGTACCGAACTGAAAGTTCGCAACCGCCAACCGGCGATGCCTCGTTTCAAGGAGGGTAGGTGGAAGCCATGTGTGGTCGGCGGTCAGGCGCTGCGCTGGCCAGAGGCCAAGAGCAGCATAGCGGATGCTCTTCACTGGCTGCATGAGCGCCACGAAGCGGAATCGTTATGCAGACGATAAAAGGAGCGGAACAACTGGAGGCGCGCCATTGGCTCAGCTGACAGACCAGCAAACCGCCATGTCCACGACGTCAACGTGCCAACAGATTCAGGCCATGATGACTCGACGCGGCCTCACTTGAGCCAGCTGCCGCCCGCAGTCCTCCTAAAAGGAGATACAAGTGGCAGGCAGGCAGAGCTTTGGTGTTTTCCTCGAAGGCGCAGACTCACCTTCGGATCAACTTGAGCGCCACAGGCTTGGTCAAACCGCTCACCTCTCACCGCAGTCCAGTCCTCAAAGGAACCCGAAAGAGCAGATAGCAAAATAACTCACACTCGCGATTTTAAAGATGCCCAACCTCCTCTCCATCGACGTTTCCGTCACCGACAACCGCATCCGGCTGGCCTTCTCAGACCGCGCCGTGGCCGCGGCCTACGCGGCTTACCTCCGCGCCCAGGACCTGCAACCCCCGCAGTGCCAGCCCGTCCCGGGGTACACGCGCGCTCCGCAGCTTCACACCGCCACCAGGGAGGTCAGCTTGTCCCTGCCCTACTTCATCACCTGGTAAGCCTCCTGCCCACACACACACACACACACACACACACACACACACACACACACACACGCACACACACACACCCACCCACCCGGCCACAAATGGGTGAACGCTGACAGGGAGATTTGTTTGTAACGGTGGAAAAGGTTCATCACATGCCGCCTCCCCGACGACGAAGACAGCGTGACCTTTACCTTTGTCGACGCGCACGAGCGGTATGCGTCGCGATGGGCCGAGACGATGCTGCTGTTTGAGCCGATAGTGCTCCCGCCGTCGACGCGGCGTTCCAATTTCAAGTCGTCACCACCATCATCGCCCCGGCACAACCATCTCTACGGTGGCGACGATGATAGTGATGTAGGAGGCCCTGCTGCTGCCAAGCAGTTGCATGTGCGACGGCTGTGGAATAGGACGCATCTGCTCAAGCGGCTTGAGGAGTTGCGCCGGCTGGTGACCGTGACTACGCCGCCGCCGCCGCCTACGTCACCAGGGAGTGTGAGGAGTCGGATGGGGAGTCCCGCTATGTGGGGGAATGGTGTTGTGGATGGGGTTAATGGGGTTAATGGGGTCCATGGGGCCAGAATGCCGGTCGCGTTTTCGGTCCCTGGCGCGATGCAGAGGGGGGATATATGGTGGTGATTTGGCGCCTGATCTCGGACTCTCTGTGGGTACTTGGGTCGTGGACGGTGGAGGCGGGTTTGCCTCTTGCCATATTTTCTGTCTTGTTCCCGTCGCCTGGAAGGAGAGGGAATCATTAGCGTCTTCTCAGCTGTTGAGATCGGTATCATGCATAAAAAGGCGTTTGGGGTTGGGGTAAACGGAGCGTAAGCAGGTTTGATATCCATTCGTTCTGTCGTCATTCGGCTTGGAAACTGGCCGAGGCCGGTGCTATACCTCGATAAGGCAGCGGCAGGATTTGTCGCGTTCGTCGTCGTATAAAACCAACTGGAAGCGTTGCATGAGGACATGGTGGCCGCGAGGGGGGTTGTTGTTGACGGGTTGGGGGTAGATGTGCACGACGGCTTGCTAATTGTGTTTGGTTCATTGCTGCAAATAGCAGCACATTCACAGACCCTGTCCGCCACAGAGTAAGCAGCTCCATAACTCTCTTGTTGGCCTTCCGAATCACTGAACAATCAACGTGCTACCCTTGTCCTGCCAGCATCATCTACCAAACTATGAAGAGCTCAAAGGCCCGGCGACGCCATTTTCCCCTCTCATCGCTCTCCGGTATCTTCCCAGCGAACACAACGGAGAAGTGGCAGGGTTAGGGCTGGCGTAGCGCCGATGCTCATGATGATGGGTCAGATCGGCGTTTTTCTCTCCCGAATCTATAATTGTCCGTTGACGCCAACCCAAGTTGAAGCTAGACCAAGCCGCGATTGGAACGCCAAGACCCACACTTCATTGTTTGAAAAATGTTGTGATTTTTTCGAGAAGATCTTGGACGGCGGCCAGGTCGATAAGCCAGGGGCTCCGTTGTGCTCTGCTCGGGAGAGAAAACAGATCTTTGAAGCAGTGGAGGTGTGGAGCTGCTGGGACAGCTTGTATGCTTACGACAAAGTCAACATAAGCTCCTGAAGATCGCCGACCCAAATTTGTCCGCTTCGTCGATGTTGCCTCTCCTGCTGTCGAAATTTGAACTCCGTTCCACATGCCCTGATGACACGCTCTACCCAAGAATGCCACACCCACTGGGGACCAAATAGAGATCCTCAACTCCCTCTGTACCCCCCGGCATCTCGCCAGAGACAGACATGGCACGGCCCCTCCCAGTCTGAGTTTCGAATGCGGCCAGCGCTTCTTCCGCCGCTTGTGATTCCAGAAAGACCTTCCCGGCACCCCGTTCTGACCGCTAGCCATCCGCAACGCATGGAGCAGCCTATCTCTTACTACAGACCGTCGTACCTGAGTCTGCCCCTTAAGCCGCCGCCACGCCGACCAGGGCTCGCACTCGACGACATTGATGATATCGACGTCTTCAACTTTTACAACCCTTGTCTGTTCCCACCATCACCAGCGACACATTTGGCTGTCCAAGAGAGCACAGAACCTGCCCTGGCCGAACTGCCAGGCTACACACGGGAGCCAGCTCCTTGTCCAGCTCCGGGCCTCCACCGATCGGCATACACCGCTAGCAGGAGGGGGCGAAGCTGTCAAGGCCGCATCGATGGCTATGGCACCCAAGCGGTTACACGGTCACGATCCTGCTCTCCGCCGCCGCGGTACACTGCCGAGGCACGGGCACCTTCTCCCCTGCGAGTACCGCAGCCGCGAGCTGTTAGTCTCCCGCAGTGGGACGCCAGCAGTAGCATATACTCAAACTCCATCCATGAGACACAAGGCACTCTTACTTTGGTGAGCAGGGGAGAGACAGAACTACATGAGGACGACCATCTCACGCCGTACCTTGGAGCATGGCCAATCCTGGATGACGGTGTAAGCCGAGATAGATACGAGGAAAGGGAGCAGGCCGCACTGAGGGAGCTTCGGGCCCTTATCGATGATTTCTTAGGGCCAAACAATACGCTGGGCGGTTTTGACGCCAACAGTATCGCCAGCGTTCATGGGAGCAATATGGACGGGTTGGAGGATGGGACGAGAGGCACATCCACAAGACCAGGCCGTGGAGGGAGGACCAGCAGGTATGGCGCGTGGTGGCGAGCCTTTCGGCAGGGGCTGGTCCTCTCATAACTCTTGGGGTTGTCATGGCTTCCACTTCATACTATACAGCTTGAGAGTAACAATCCAGGTACCAATTCCACCTTGTCATTCCGATAGATCCTACTAAATGCCCCCGTCAATAATCACACCGCTTCGTCCACGGCTCCAGCCCCTTCAACAGCGCCTCATGCACCTCCTTATCCCCACTCCTCCTCAACCCCTCCTCCAACACATCCTCCCCCATCCTTCTCAAAAAGATCAAAAACCCAGCCCACACAAAATCCGCATAGCTCACCTCTCTCCCCAAAAAGCACGGCCCGTCAGCTTGCGCCTTCAACAAACCCGTAACCTCCTTCAGAAAATTCTCCGCCCGATCCCAGGCCTCCGAAGCAGGATTCATCCGCTCATACTCGTCAATTGACGACGTGCCGACCCACCGGGGCCGCGTGCTGTGCCAGTGCGGCAGGCTGGCCTCGTTGAGCAGTCTCTTGGGCACGAGCGGAATGTAGACGGGCTGGAGGGCAACCATGATGCGGCGCATGAGGTCCTCGAGCTTGGCGAGCGTGGGGGAGTCGAGGTGGATGGGCGGTGACGGGTGGGCCTCCTCGAGGGCGGCGGCGATCTTGCGCGAGTCGGTTACGTAGGTGCCCGATGGGAGGCGGATGGTGGGGATTGTGTAGGGGACGTCAATGCCGTTTGGGGGGAGGCTGGGTGCACGTGTCTGGTTAGGGGGAATTTTGGGTTTGGGAATGGGGTTACAGGGAGAGAGGGGACGAACTGAGGGGAGAGGGTGGGTTGAATGTCGGGGTATTCCACCTGGAAGCGGTTAGCAGATATCAGGGGATGGGTGGGATTGACGGACTCACCCATTCAGTGCGGTAATCGAGGCCTTTATAGTTGAGAAGCATCCGGGCTGATGGTGTTAATGGATTGCTGTAATAAGCCGGTGACGGGCAACACTGCCAACTCACTCTTCCAGGGGTTGAGCGACCAGCAGCTGCGTGGCTCCTTGCTGGCCAGGTCGAACAAAACAATCTGCTCCGACATGATGATGGGGCTTTACTGTTGAGATGCGGTGTTGGTCATTGGTGGCGGATGATGAGTGATGGGTAAGGACGACGACTCAGCGACGAGGGATGTAGAAGGGTTGAAATATCTGCTGTTTGTCAGACGCCCTTTGCTTGACGTTGTAGTGGACCTGTAGTGGAACTCTACGTGATGGAGCTTCAGCAACCCGGCACAATCATATAGCCAATCGAAACTTATTGGAAAGCGAAACTGATACCTAACTTATGCAAGACAAATTGACCGATGCGGGGACCAAATACCCTCGGATATCAACGGCGAGGCAGAGCACACACATGCACCTGCTGTGATCACTCCGACTCGAAAACACATGCTCAAAGCGCCGTCGAAATAACAGCGGAGCGCCTCGTGACAGTAACAGGTACATGCTATTGTTTACCTTATTGTTGACCCGGGGCTGAAGGGACCGAGTGCATCATAATGGCTTCCATTACTTGGTTGCAGGCTGCACATCAGTTCTTTGAGTGGACTCTTCTTTATGCATTCTTTGAACCTTCAGACTCCAGACCCTGAATTTCTAGTATTCGTCGCTCTACCTCCAGGATTTCTGGGTTGCTTACAAAACAGCGCTTGGGACTGAGAGGGAAATCGCTCATGCCAGCTGCAGCATCTTTGTGCATACGTGAGTGGTAACAGTTAGAATGCTACTGATGCACTTGCGAACAATGGTAGCTGATCGTGTGCAAGGTTGGGTCTCAGCCAAGTACCCTAACATGGGATCAAACAAGTCCTGTCGAAACACCTCTGCGGACCACCCTACCTTCGTATATAGAGGCGCGAGTCAGCCCTTACTTTACTACCTCGGTACTCTAACACGGCATTGGCAGAGCAGACCCTGCTTCCACATTTGAAACGGACGCCGCAAGAGAGCACGAACAGTATTTCATACCGCCCACCAACAGTGCCGTCAACTCAGGGGCAAATTTAATCCCTGAGGAACCATAGCGAACGTGCACATCCCCAAGCGTCTCAAGACCGTTTGGTGGCCTGAGTCACCTAGATCTACTCAATCGGCAAAGGTTCGTCACGTACCTCAAATGTACAGTCTCTACGACCCCGACGACTACGTCCAGCGACACGGCATAACATGGACCGCTTCTACGTCAATGTCCACTGCTACTGAACCGGCCAGCAGAGGAACCTCAGAGGAACATTTATCAACTCACAGACCAAGATCCCAAGGGCACAAAGCGCGTGGACGCCAGGTCTCACGAGGAAAACGGACGGACAGTCTTAGACTTTTGTTTCGACAACATCTGGTTCGCGGAGGACGCCCGCGGATCCTATTACTTGACGGGTGTTGTTCGAGCTCGGCAAGAGAAAACAGAGGGTATGGAGCGTGAGGGCGATCCAGTCCTCGAGTGGACTGAGGAGACGTTCACTCGCTCATCATCGTTCGCGCATCAAGCGCCAGACGCCGTCGCTAAGCAGTGCAGACTGAGAAAGACATGGATGGAATCACGATGGGCTATGAAACTAGACGGCCCCAGCGAACGGATATGAAGACTGGCCTATGGTGGGGTTATCTCAAGGAGCTGGATCATGGCTGGATGGGCCTAAGCGCCACTGGGTGGATGAGGAGGTCGATAACCAGGCTGCTGGCCTACTGACTAAGGAGGAAGACAAGACGTTCAGTAAGGTACCTAGAGACCAGGGACAGCAAAGTCCAACTGGAGCTGGTTGTCTTCTCCTTTGAACGGACAAGCTTGTGACTGTCTTCCATGGGCGGTGACACGACGGACGTGTCATGATGAATGTCGCCGGACATAGGGGCATTTACTTCTGGCCCTTAGACATGGGTTCCAACGTTGATCCGGTCGATCATCCCGGCTCAAGCGTCGTACCCGCCTCTCGGGTCACCATGTAAGAGTCTGTTGCCTATCCAGGTGAAGGTTTACCGAAACTTTCTGCTCGCATGATACCCATTTGATGAGAAATGCGGTGACGCATGCGCGATTACGATCCATCCCCAGCTCTTTAAATCTACGGTGCCCACCAGCACCGCGTGCTGCTAGGTAGTACGACTATGAGGGACATCGCCGTCATAATCCTCACTCTCTCATAGGTCAAGTGTCATTAGTTCCCGAGGTTTCCAATGACCCTACGAATGCTTCCGCCTCGGTAAGGTGTAGGTAAGGTACCTTAACTATGACCCCAGTGAGTATGATTCTCGGAATTGAAACAACAAAGCAAACTCCTCATGTAACTTCCAGTTACAGTCTATGAGGGACGGTACCCCAAGTACATGTAGTCATTTTGACCGTTGAAAAGTTGCATAAGTTAGCCATTATTATGTCGCTCTAACAAATACCGACTCGTTAGCAAGATGGACACTGGCACGGGTCTCAACAGCAGAATGGGGCTGAAGAACAAATTCGTACTGCGAAGCGAAGGCAAGCCGCTAGCTCAGTATCTAGCAGTAGTGCTTGTACAATCCAATACGGTAAGTACGATCGTCATGTTGTTCACCGTTGTAGATAATAGGGGGCGACCACATGATCTCTTGCTACAGGTGTTGGGCATGAGGATACATATCTCCGCCAGATGGGCGCCAGATGAAGCCATGGCCGGCTGGCACGTACCATAACGTGATTGACGGACCGCAGCATGGCCATCATGGATGCTAATTCGAGATCAGTGTCACAGCTATGAGAGCCACTGTTACTATATTATCCTAGGCCCATAACACTCCACATATCAAATGTGCTCTGCCCTTGTCATAGGCGTACAACCAGCCACTGATCTGAGCACAAGTGTCCTCGTCTGTATCGTTCTGGATCCTGCCAGCCCCTGACCTTGTGCTTGCATTTCCCCGTTCCAGGTAACTACCAACTGTCAAGTCATAGCATTCGGGGCATTGTAGTTCAGACGAGGCGCGTGATCACAGATCCAACCAACAACGTAGTCGCAATAACACGTAGCTCAATGCTAGGTACAGTAGGAGACATAAAACCACTCAAGTATCAAGGACCCCTGAATCGACATAGAAGTTAGCAGTCCCCCTCCGGCTGCTGACACATAACTCGTCTCGGATAGTTATTACCTAGAAACAGCCAGCTTACACCGTAACTTTACCTGTATCATCTTTACACTTGCGGACACCATGACAACCGATTTCCATCATAGACTCGTTCACTATTCCGGCCCTTAAGGTCAACGAGGGGATATTGTGTTCCCTCCCGATATTCCTGACAATCGGGCCGAAAAACAACGTTACGAGGATTGAAAACGTGTCGTCCAAAGTCAAAGGACCATTCCTCTGTTGTCCTTCGACCTGCATCTTGACCGAAACGACTGGGAAATAGAACGAGACGAAGAACGCTGGCAGCAACTGAGAGAGATTATGGACCTCGGCGGAATGTTGAGGGTGATGGGCCAACGTTCCGTTGCTGGGATAGCTGAGACGGACAAGCTTGAGTTGTCATCGGGAGGAAGGTATATGACAACTCCTGGACGGAATCCATATGGGGCCTTACATTGGTTTTCCAAGAGCATCAACATCATTAAGACAGCTCACCAATTGCAAAGATACAAGGCGTTGATCGCGTGGGACAATAATCAGCGGGCGCAGGCGGCAACGCACTCGGGCGGGATGGAGGGAAGCACGGCTGAGGAAGGATTTTCGGTCGACGATTGAGAAGAAATAAGAAACCAGCTAGCCGGCCTCATTTTGGTTTTGTTTTGACTTATACGCCGGTGAAGTGCGTACAGTAGGGCATGGGTGAATTCAAGCTCGGCTTCAAAATACCATTACGTGGACATCCACAGCGATGACCCACGCCACGCTTGCCGAAGTAAGAAGTCAATGGAGGCCTCAAGTTGTAACCTAAGACAAGAACAACTTAGTATGGGTGGATGCCTCGGAAGCTACATCAGTTTCTAAATAGTATACGTTGCGAAGATGTCACCAAACGGGGCTTGGACTGCGTGCCCCCCCTTCATTACTTGATGACCTCCAGCCCATCTAGTCACCTAGGCAGACATCAATCAGATAGGTAGACATTGATACTCTGAGGTTCAGTGGGTCTTCAAACTAGTTAATCCTTTGTGTGAATCTTTAAAAATGGGGGGGCCGCAATGCTGTGACTTGTTGTACATGTAGTCCATAAAACGTTGAAAAAGCCGTCGGGAAATCAATCACCAAAATGACGTTGATACCTTATGCTTAGTGGTCCTTGCCTAAGGTACTATTCATCCGTACAGGGAATGCAACATACGGTACCGCAGATAAGTGATCTCCAGCTTGGCATTTGCTTGAACTTCGTATATTCATGACTTAGATATATGCAGACAAGGTCTTCTCGAGCGTGGCAGTGATGATGAACTGTCGATACCAACTCTTTTACCACCTCATGACCTCAGAGCATTGAACCAAGCATTGGACCGAGCGTCCCTTGTAATGTCGATAGTCATCAGCTACCGCGTTGTCTACTCCCGTTCTCATCAGACTCCCTTCGTATCATGCCGTCTGGGCCTCAGCCGCCCTTAAAGAAGCCATCACCGACCGCAGGTAAAGGGTCTCATACACCTTACGACCATAATCCGATGTGTTTCTTCCAGTCAACATTCAAAGGGCATCCTGGTGTATTGGCAGCATTGTCATGCAGTTTGATGCGTAGAGACGCCTCCAAGTATCCAGAGACCTAGCATAAAAACTGGCAGTGGTTCGCCCTCTGCCTCGGGCCCAATACAGGTACTCATCCCGGCCATCGACATAGATTGGAAGGCTAAAACTAGGCTACAACTAACCCGGAAGCTCATAGGAAAATCATTCCCTCCAAACTCCACGCACACTCGCCAATATCATACCAACGCCTACGTCCAGTTCATCATGGCAGCCAACCAGGTTGTGAACCAGTTGCACAAAATGAAACTCCCTACGGACTTCGGCTGTTTGGGACAGTTGTCCCAACACGGACTCAACTCAGCTATCTACAGAAACCAGGAGATCTAAAACGCTTTGCCCGCTACTCTCGTTTTTTAGAGATCCCAGCCTTTCGATCAGCTTGCCGAGTGGATTGGCCAAGACGAAGGCCGCCTGGAGGGTACTCCCGTAGCGCGCCTGAGGGCAGCCGTTTCCAACTGGATGCAAACACCGGAGAAGACAGAACCGGTTTTCTCGACTATAACGACCGACATGGGCTGGGCCAGAAATCATGCGGCAACACTTACCTCGAGATCAACTTCAGCTGGAGTACAAAGCCTTCAACTGCAGGAAAGCCCAGGTGTGCGTAAACCGTGGACTTGCCGATGATCATTCGCTTTTGTGCTCCTGAAGGCAAATGTGAGGTGAGCAAGATAACCTTGGTTCCAGATGCCATGAGACGCCCTTATTGTTGAAAAGACGGTCGAGTCCCTGGCTCATCGGCTGTTGTCGTTAGAATCGGCAGCCAATACACAATGCAGCCTTACGCTGTAGATAATGGAACACTGCGGTGTAGACGGCGGTATGTACGTATCTTCACTAAGTGAGGGGCAGAAGAGGAAGGCTTAAGCCAGGAAGATGAAATAATTAAGTTATCTCAAGCGATAAATAGCTTGACAAGTAGCGTGGTCATCTTTCTCAAACTAGATCCGCATTCAGCTCCCTGAGCTTGCTTCTTATTAGATTCGCTATCCTCAAGTTCTCGGCGGAAAAATGCTTCGACAAATGCAGAATGAAATTTAAAGGATCTGGTGAGACTAATACTGCCTACAGGGTGGGCTGAAAGCCCCCCTTTCCGTCGCTGGGATATTCGAACAACGGTAGCCCCCCGACAAACTCTGTCCACAACTTGTCCGACACAATAGGAGCAGTGATGTACTCGTTTGTCTCCGATTCCTGAACCGCCTTCAACATGTCAGGCAAGACATCGTCATATGCTTTGACCAAGGAGTCGTGAAACGTCGGCGTGATGGTGCGCTCCTCAGAAATATACCAGCTGAGGTCCGTCGCCAGGCACAACATCTCAAAGAGGTAAACAATCTTCGGGCAAACACCCGAATCTCTGGCTGCCTCGTAAGCCATACGATGGCCGATTGCCTCGATCAGGGGCCGGCAACGCGGGAGGATGTGTCGGTTGAAGTCCTGACCCCTGTGCTCCTCGTAACCGCCCAGCTCGGCAATTTTGGATCTGGTGCTCTTCATCATCATCCGTTCACGCTGTGCCAGTTTTGTGGATGGATCTCGCGGCTCCGGCAGGCTGTACTTGTCCCCGAGCAACTCAGAAGCAAGACCTGGTAAGAACTGTCAGACGGGGTTCAACAAGCGGGACCGGGGAAGACGCACGTATACACAACACGAGGATATCACCCTCCGCAATGTAGCTGCCCTGGAGACTGAGAGCCAGCTCGTTGACCTGGTTGTAAGGAAAAAGCCCCTGCCAACCGCATCGCTCCGAGAGTTCATTCAGGACGCGCGATGCTCGCGCGACGGTCGCCTTGAATAGTGTCCCAAGCGCATGTCGCACGGGAGTGCTATAGGCAGGACTCATGAACTCCTTCACTGTCCATCGGGCGTATGAATCGAGGACAGTTCCGTAGACCCAGCCATCCAGGATAGGTCGCTGCTGCGTGCTGAAGGACATGATTGGCACATGTCCGCGCCCGTGGGGAGCGGCGACCAGCCTTCTTTGGCTGTAAAGGGCAGTGATGCGGGTTCCCAATTTGATTGCTGGAATGCCCACAATCGAGAGCGCAAGTGTCCCGACGGAAACCCGCTGAATTTGTTTCAGAAAGTCGACTCGCTCATCCTTCGGCTTAGCGATGGATCCAAGGAGCGCATTCGGGGACAAACGGACATGGTCAAAGGTTGTGATGGCATGATCCAAGGGCTTCATGTTGGTCCCGGATCGCGTCGGCAGTGCCCGAGATGTGATGCCGCGCCTCATCTGGTTTGCATCGCACAGCCACACGACAAAGGGCTTGACCCCATGATCTTCTCCCGAAACCTTTAGCCGTGCAAACACAATCGCTACACGAGGAATGCCGGCGTTCGGTGTCGTTGGAGGCATGGCCTTTGCTGCCGCGGCGTTTGGAGTATGGAGATCAAAAGAGCCATCCGGCTGGAGGGTCGCTGTAGTCTCGAGGTTGCGTGCGTCCAATCCATGACCGACTTCCGTCAGCATGAACTCGCCGCAAATGTCAAAATTCAACAGTCCCTTAACAACACCGGATAGATCGGGCCTGGTCTCGACAAAGTTGCTGAGGGTCCCGACGCAGAGATTGATGTGGATTGTAGCAATGGTGAAGGCCGTCGGGTCACGGGCAGCAATCACTAACGTTTTTCTTCAACAACACAACACAATAACCGCTAGCTCGGAATATGGAGAGAGACTGACAGTCGAAGTGGAAATCCCAAAACTTCTTCGTCAGGTAACGGATATCGTCGACGGAAAGGCCTTGGTATCTCAGCTACCAATCATCAGATCAGATTTTGCTGAATGGAACCCACCGCTTTGTCGACAGATTGACTGCGCTCTTTTGTAGTGAAGGGCAATATAGTCGGGGGAGACAGGTTCATCTCTCTCCCTGGATTTGCTCCAGACGTCTTGCTCAAGCAATGGGCGAGAGAAGGACATGGTGGGGTGAGCTGCTGCGCCGGGCACGACGGCATTTCAAGGTCAGCACTGAATCCCCCGACTCAGGCGACGAGGCCTTGTACCCACATACACTTTTAAGCAAGACAGGAAATGTGCTTCGTCGATGTGGCTTAGGTGCAAAGGAAAGACAAGAGAAGAGAGGATATTTCTGGAGTGTTATACTTGCTTAAGGATAAACCGGGTTCATGAACATGGCTTTCGTTCTCTTCCCGAGGAGGAAGATTGCCTCTCGTCGACATTGCTTATTTTCTGCGGGTTTATTCTCTGACGTTGTAGCCCAAGCTGAATAAAAGCACCGTTAGTTTTTCGTGCCCAACTGAGCTGGATATGCAAGAGTGGAGCAACCCTGATCGATTGGCTAGAATACCGTTGTGGCCCCGCTGTGAACGTATTGATTGGCCATGATCAGCCCTTTTTTTCTCGCATTGGCCCAACCGTCCATTCGAGCGAGATCGTGAAGCTGAAGCTATTGGGCTCGTTAAAGTCCGCTGACGTGGCTAAGAGGCCAGGATCTCCCCGGAAAAGGAAAGAACCGAAGGATACTGTACAGCTGAAAATGTTGCCGTGTCTCGGAGACTCCCTTTGATGCTCAATGAAGCGTACCTACACTATCAGGCGTCTCCGATCCGAGGATAGGCGGAATCTCCCATTAACAACAACAGGATGTGTAAGCGACCTAATTCTCGATGGGGAAGGGTGATCGGCCATTCTTCTGGCAGCGCAACCGCAACTGACGCTTCGCCTCGCAGTAAATGTTATGATCATAGAGCACTCCATTTCGCTTGCAAGTGTTCGGTACCTAAACGAGGACTGCACTTTACAGGGCGCTTCCGTCCCTATTGGTGCCTTGAAACTGGACTGTAAGAATTATCACAGTTTAGCAGCTCAGAGCGGTATGTACAATACAGTTAGAATTAATGATGGTGATTTGGTTTTTTAGAAATATAGCAGAGAGTAACGTACATTACAAGCGAACGGCGCACAGAGAGGTGAGTGGCGCACTGATAAGGGCTAGTATGGAAATCTGGGCACAGCACTAACAGCTTATTCCCAGATTAATCCCGCTGTTAGTGTTGTGCCCGAATTTCCATACTGGCCCTTATCAGTGCGCCACTCGCCTATATGCTCCGCTCGCTTATAATGTACGTTATAAGTTAGGAGTTTCTATCTAGCGTATTTGGTAAGCGAGCGGGACATACAAGGGAGCGGGACACTCTCCACCACTCTCTTAACAATCCTCCTCATTTGCAATACAACAACACTATGAACCTACTAAAAATTGCTGGCGTCGCTTCGCTCGTCAGTCGCGCGGCCCTTCGCTACGCTACGGGGCGCTTCCTTCCTCTCTCTCGCTCCTGGCAATTTTCCTGTCCCTGCCGGAGGACAATCGGCTCATCAACTGTTCGTCCTGTATACTACTGTGTTCATTATGGGTGCGAGAGACGAAGCGCCAGAAACCTGTCCGTCGGCCAATGATTCCCGTATACTGCAATTGCATTGAATCGTATCTAATTCGACTGCCGCGGCGCAAGATGGACTGGGGCGGGAGTTGAAGGCGCGGCGGCCGCGCGGCGGGCGATCGCACTGGCTGCCGAAATAGCAGCATTCGACGCATGTTCCTGGTGTACCAAGTCAGCTAGTCAGCTTGGAGATGAAGAACGATAGAATGGAAACAATTGAATCGTAACTGATGCCCTCTGCTTGTCCCGGCAATCCAGGCACTTTCTGACAATCCTGCCGTTACCACGACGATCCAAAAACTGATCGATCGGCTGCTCAACGTTGCAGTCGCGACAAACTTTCCACTGCGCTTGAGGGACAGCGCCCTCCATAGTGACAGAATAACCAGTCCATAACGGAAATACTCTGAAACCAAGAAGGAAAGAAGCTGGAAAATGGGGGGTTGCAGGAGGGCAACATCGTAGGTCGTTGTTGACGATGTCGAGAGGCCATGTAAACAAAGTTGAGGACAGGAATTAGGTGGGTGCGGCTAGCTTCGCATGCAGGCGGCATTGGAAGGGCCAGCCTGCGACACAGCCGAATGAGGCAAGTAGTGGGGCGGCAAAGCTACGGACCAGTCCCCAGGGGCGGATAAGAGGGCTCCGCAATTCCTTATCAATTTCCGTCGACTTTCCCATAGTAATTTCCAAAAGTTTGGCAACAAAATTGTCCTCCGGACAGGATGATTGATTAGAGTAAAGCGGAAATAGTCTCGTCGTACAACCGCGGCTAGGTTCGGGGACGGGCCGCTGGCGAAGGTGTATTTTCGCATATACCTTTCTATATGCAATGACTGATGATTCGCCTAGAGAATGGACGGCCGGCCCTTTGTCACTCAAATGGTCCGCCGAACGGTACTCTTGAAGGAATTGCCATTCCCCCCAAGCGCCAAAAACACGTGTATGTCAAGTACCGCCTCTATAGCTGCGGAGCCGGGTCCTACAAAGGGTTGAGACGTCCTACGACGTCAGCCATGGCCTTTGAGAGCCGTATATACCCTGAGAGCCACCGTTGAAACCACAGCCCTGGTAGCAACTTTCCTGCCTCGTAATTTACCGCGGTAAAACTGCTCGCTAGGCTCATGAAGGGACGCCCAGCAGTCTGTTTTGTGGGGATGAAATGATGCCAGGTACGTGGTTTCTATGCAAACATGTGGCGGATGTCGAATTCATCCGCACTTACCGAAAATCCCTGCGTCGAAGGGAAGTTCGGAAGACTGCGCTAAGGGGTAAAATACTCGGTAACACTTCCAACGGCCCGACTCACTGCAACCATCCCGGCGGAGCGATCCTTGTTGGTGGGCTCTCTTAGGCGTCAGTTGAATGCCTCGACGACCGAACGAACCCCCTCTGCGCCGAGAATGCTCTCTCTCACCGACAAGATACTGTACCGAGGATACCGCTAATCCGATGTAGCGATGCTTACCCCTGTTCCGCAGTGCGGAGCCACGGTATATTTCATTCTCATCGTGTTGTTCAATATTCTCAGCCGTCTCAACCGTACAATTCAGGGCCTTGACCTCATGGCCGAACCAGGATTGCAAACCCGAGAAAGAACTTCAACGCACATGGCGATTTCTTTTGAATCGCTGCCGGCGTTTAGCCATGTGTTGGAACTCCGGGAGTTTTGGGAGTCTAGGCTTCTGGAAGTTAGGTTAGGGACTTCAACAAACGTATGTATCCCAACGCGTGTAGCGAGCTCAACCTCTGGGAGATCAGGACTTAGTGAACCAGGCTTCAATATCAATAGATTGTACCTCCCGAGCCCACTTGCAAAGGCACAGGGGACAAGATACATAAGGAGCTTCCTGGGGTAAGTTTTCCAACGTGATCCTCTTTTCGCAAATCTCTTACCCGTTATCTGCCAGTGCCTCGACCCTTTAAACTTTCCCCCTTACCTAATTAATCTACATACGCAGACGCAATGTGCGACTACTCAACGAAAGCACTTATGCGGCCGATTTCGGTGGACTGCCTGTAGTGGTGCAAACCAAACGTCACGCACTCTGGATATCGGCCAAACGAGCCTTGCGGTGCGTATTTACAATCCATCCAGCGTCCAATCTCACTTACAACCGGGCTTGAAAGTAAGGACAACATCACTCATAGATGAGTGCAAGCCGAAGGAGCGCCCCACCATGGGAAGATCTGATCATACGCCAGGCAGACCTCATCGGCACCCATCCGCGCAATTAACCGCGGTTGGAACGCATTAAGGAAGATCCGGACAACAGTGCGATTCATCTCCACGCTTTAGAAGATCGCCCCTATTGCGGAAGGTATAAAAGTCGAGCTTAAGAGTAACGGACAATCTAACAACTCTAATGCGTGGCGTCGCTGGTGTTGCGGTCAACATCTCTAGCGGCCGTTGTTAGCGTCATCCGTTGTGAATCCGTTTGGCGAAGAGTCTCGTGGCCCAGTCCCTGGTAGTTGTAACGCTGCGTTGATCTCCTAAGGCAAACACCACCGAGTAAGCCATATCAATCCCCGGCATATTTGGAAGGAAAACTTATGGTGTGGTGGTGGAGTGGTGTTGGGAGCCACTTCTAGCTCCGTAAGCTGTGGTTTCTTACAACAGTAACCCTTGCCGCTATGACTAAAAAGCCATTTCTGGCTCTATTTAAAGGGGTGATGCTTGCCAGGATCTTGTCGTAATACCTACCTAGGGCCAATCACTGGCGCACCAGAAGCGGCTTTCGAGAGCAGATTCCGCTGCACTGCAGCGTAGCTAGAAGTTCAACTTAATCAACCAACTATCAATTCAATTTCAACCAATCGATTCAAACCCCCAAGCCCTGTCAATTCAACCAATTCAACGTTCGGGCTTCCGGCGTTGTTAAAGTGGTGGGGCTGGATTATATGATAATCCGGTTCCGATAGTGTTTTGGTTCACCCTACGCCCTGACCGCGTCGGCTGCCCTGACCCCTGACCGCGTCGGCTGCCCTGACCCCTGACCGCGTCGGCTGCCCTGGCCCCTGACCGCGTTGGCTGCCCTGACCCCTGACATATTGGCCAAAGATGAGGGGTCGTGGGATCTGCGGTCGAAACTGATCCTCCCCCATCGTAATGTTTGATTCAGCCACTCAGATGCCTGCAAGCCAATCCCCCCTCCGACAATGTCATCGACCCCAAGCCTCCCTGATGATTATCCGCTGTTCAACGAGTGGGCGGATACTGAAGACAGCCCTTTTGGCCATGTCATGAACGAGCTTGAGCAGTATCTCGAGATACGGCCTGACAAGCGCATCAAGGATCCAATCGCGTGGTGGGTTGAAAGGAAGCAGGCCTTCCCACGCCTCAGCCGGCTGGCTCTAGACCTCCTGGCTGTTCCAGCGATGGCAGATCACTGCGAACGGCAGTTCAGTTTAGCCAAGCTATCAGTATCTACACAACGATGCCATCTCCAGGCCCGAACGCTTGAGTTTCTGCAACTGCTTCGGAGCTGGATCAAGCAGGGCGGTATCGTTCTAGGAGGCATTAGCTTACCTGCCCCCTGAGTCAATCGAACCCAAGGTCTTTGAGGGAATGAGGAATGAGTGGGCGGCGAAGGAGGCTGTTCCGGGACCAAACCTCCTTCTGGATCATGGCTCATGTTGAAGTGGCCATATGGTCACATGCCCACCATGTACTATCAACTTATCAATCAATCGCTCAATCAACCAATTTTGGCGGGTTTGGATCAACCAATTCAACTTTGAGGCCTCGGTTGGGTTGGTTGAACTGTTAGCTACGCTGCGCTGCAGTATAACAACCAGGTTCATAAAGACAGAAACAAGAGCATAATCATATCTCCAATCACTCGTCGTACTCAGGCACTACAGCCGCAAAGTACCTCATACCTGAACCAGAGCCAGAAGCAGAAACCCAGATACCAAGTCAGAAGCTCGAGTAAGACCGTTCGGAGTATGAGAAGCAGGCGCATAAGGACAATCCGATGCCCAGTGGTCTGGATCACCGCACCGCACGCAGACCCCAGTCTCCCGCCGAGCTTGTCGTTGTGCAGGCGTCGAACTAGGTGCGAAACGGATAGAACCTCCTGTCCGGATACGCGAGAGCTGGATTGCATCGTCATCCCGTATGTTCAAAGCGGAAATGTCCATCGGTTCACCGACTCTAGGGGCCGCAGGTTTTCCGAAGTTGCTGGGAGAATTTCCTTGGCCGGAGCCACCATATCCACCGAGCTTGTGCAGAGCCTTGACGAATCCTTCGTATGTAGTGGGAAGTTCCAGCTGTAGATCAAGTTTGGTCTTGAGCTTATCGTTGACACCGTTCCGTAGAATCGCGATGTTCGAATCGTCTGGCCACGAGTTGGCGTTTGCTTCGTAGAAATAGGCGTTCCAATCGAGAGAGATAGACTGAGAGAGAGTCGCCGCAAAGGGAAGAAAAAAAAGTGAAAAGGGAGAAAGGGGGAAAGGGGGGAAAATGAAAAAGAAATGGTACGACCCTACAAATAAAGTGCTCTAAATGCTAACGTCAAGTTACTGTATACTGGATATCGGATATCGAACAGAACAGGCAAAGCAATGCAAAGTTATCTATAAAATACTCTACTAAAGCCGTTGGAAAGGAGTTCCGTAGGCCAGTGGAGTCTCTGACCCTGTGCCTTGCGTTCCTTTTGCGTCTCCTATATAATACCAATAGTTATAATAAGAGAGAAGGTGACTCGACGAAGCGGGAGATGGGAAGGATAATCTTCCAATGCCTTTTTATATCGCAAGTTCAACTCGTCACATTAGGTGGACTTCTAACTTCGGACCTCATCCACCAAACGTGCCTTCAACCCCTAACAGGACCTTTCTCACGGACCCGGCCCCAAGTGGCAACTCCCTTCGGCTTGTTCTCCAACACGCCCTCAATCTCGTCCATAATCTCGGGCGTCAGCTTATCAATAACGTCCAACGCCTTAAGGTTATCCACGATCTGCTCAACCTTGGTAGCGCCCAGAATAACCGTGCTGACGTTCGGGTTCTTCGCAGCCCAGGCCAACGACAAATGCGTGACGGTCGCTCCCAAACGCTCGGCGATCTTGGTCAGCTTCTTGACCTTTTCCACTTTCGCCTTGCCCTCCTCGCTCTGCAGCATCTTGACGGTGTCCTCGAAGAAGGCCTTGTTGGTCGCGAAGCGCGACCCCTCGGGCACGCCCTCGTTGTACTTGCCCGTCAGGAAGCCGCTCGCAAGCGGGCTCCAGATGGTGGTGCCGTAGCCGTGTTGCCGGAACAGCGGCTCGTACTCGACCTCGAAGCGCTCGCGGTGCAGCGCGTTGTACTGCGGCTGCTCGACGACGGGCGCGATGAGGTTGTACTTTTCCGCGATGCCGATCGCCTCGGTGATCTGCGCCGCGCTCCATTCCGATGTGCCCCAGTAGTAGGCCAGGTTGAGATTGCGGATGCATTGCGTGAAGCCTGTGCCAGCAATGTCAGCTGTGAAATTCCTACTGGATGTGTCGAAAGGTTTTGCGAGGAAAATACACAGTCAGGCGAACACAAAGGGGTAAAGACAATCCACAGACAAAGAGATTGTCGTACCTTCGACAACCTCCTTCATGGGCGTGGCCGGGTCCGGACGGTGCGCAAAAACGACGTCGACGTAGGGGGTCTGGAGGCGGGCGAGCGAGGCCTTGAGACCCTCGACAATGTGCTTGCGGCTCAGGCCGCGGGTGTTGGGCTCCTTGCGGCCGGTGCCAAAGAAGATCTTGGTGGTGAGCACGTACTCGTCGCGCGGCCAGCCCAGCTCCTTGAGGGCGCGGCCCATCTCGACCTCGGACGCGCCGTTGGCGTAGGTCTCGGCCGTGTCAAAGGTTTGCTATGGACCTGTCAGTGTGACTTCGGGTTTGTAAGGGCCAAGAGTCATACAATGCCATGGTCCCAGGCAGCCTTGAGACACTCCTTCACAACATTGCCCTTCTGAGTGCCGCCGTAGGTGAGCCAGCCACCGAGCGAGAAGAGAGAAACCTGCAGACCCGTGTTGCCGAGGTAGCGGAACTTCATGTTCTTGGGCTCGTAGGCCGTGGGAACAATTGGGCCGTCAGACATGATGGGCGTCTTCTGGATGCGAATTGGGCCGGCTTTGATGAGGGAGGGGAACAACGGTGAGCTGCCGGGAGGAGGGAGCAGGGCGGGAGTCGCGGGATATGGTAACGTTTATTATGACGGCAGTCCCCTTGGCGGGAGAGCTTGCCTGGGCAACGGTGGGTCGATCTGCGAAATGGGCCGCCATCGCGATGCTTGTGACGACATGGAACCTGTATCCGCATCGGCCTTTCTGGGGTTCTCAATGCGGGGTTACGCGGAGATAGCAAGCAATGGCATCATCGAATGGGTTGAGCCGTTCTCAATTGATACGCCAGCCTAGCTAACAGGCGGAGAATACGAAAGCTGCTAAAAGACGAGCATCTTATCCGGTTTGTTTTTCCATGATTAGAAATTCTTTTTTTGCCCTTCTGTCAATTTCCTCAACCCCGCCCGGCGAGCTGTGGGGAGGAATGAGGGGCATTCAAACTAACGTTAGCGGGACCGGCAGTGTGGGTTTCTTCCGGGCCGCAATCCCTGGTTCGGAGGTCTCCGGCTCCGTTTCCGGCTCTTAATGTGACCTCCGGTCCGTCTGACGAACATTGCAGTTCCCCCAGTTTACAGTGGACCCAGAGGCGAGGATGGTACACGTGTACACGTGTGTAGCACCAAGCGTCAAGGTAAGGAGTGTCAGATCCTCGCACTGAAGTACAATTCCTGTACGAAATACATCGCTGTCATTGCAGGTTCCGGATTAGGGACTTCGAACCACTACACCCTACCTGTGTAACCCGAGCTTCGACATGACCTCGCCGAGGGATATGACAGATGGACGACATTGCGGACCGAGTGGAAACCAAATGGCTAGAGGAGGTCGCGAAATGCGTCAGTGGGCCCATCGTAATAAAACCTGGGAGCCTGAAAAGCCTTGGAGTCACGCTCGCTTTAACTGCGCCACTGCCCAGCCTCGCTGCTGTCAACATCATGATATTGGTGATGGAGTAGCAAGGTTCCCGGATCACCATAGGGTTGAATCCATCCGTGGGATGTTGATCGTGCAACACACAAGGCCGCAATACAAAAATGGCAGATTAAGCTCGAACTTGAGTGTCAGCGCTATGGCCGATCATTGTTGTGCGCGACGAAGGAGGCTTGCCTGGGCGCGGTGGTGTAGGATGCTTTTTAAGAGCTCCTAGTGTATGTCTTCTGCGGCGGGGAAAACTGACTCCTCCCGTCACGATGCCGCCGTCGAGGTGTTTCCGCACAAGGTTACTTGCTACTCAGGTATGTTGGAGAATAGTGGTTGGAATCTCAAATCCAGCTATATGACGGAAGAGGCCAGAGAGAGGTTGGATTCCCGGTGAGAGGATTGTGCTGCTCTGTGGGGTCATGGAGCGACTGCAGAGGGCTAGATTTGGAACCTGTTATCTTCTGCTACTAGCTTTGGCATATCTGTTGGGCGCTTCGCCCGAGATAGTCACGATTTGGGACATCGACGGTGAAACCTTCCTTGACATCGCCGCGAAAATTCGCCGATAGTTTGGATCTTGCTGCAGGCAACAGGTGTCTCAGACGACGTGTCAGGCGGCAGTCCAAGGCTGTCATCTGATCCCGCTGTAAGGCTGAATCCGACGCGACGGGTCAGCCTGCGCAGGCTTTCTCAGCAAAGTCCATATTCCAGGGTCCTGTACTTGATGCTACCCTGATTGGGCAACCTCAGGTAACCGCCACACCAGTACTTACGATACCTACCTGGGTATTTCAGTAACCTTGTTAGGTTCGTGAGCCAGGCTCGATATGGAGACAACTGAACAAGTCTGGTCTCAGTCGCCGGCCGATAGGCTGTCGGATACTGACTGGACCGATGAGGACTACCGTACCATAGGCATATGCCGTCTTGGGTGGAGTACCTTACAATCCTACCTACCCTACATCGCTGCATAAAGGTTAGCGATTTTGTCGGGCGCGTGGGATGACATCTGGCAAGGGATGCCGGAAAGTGCTTCTTGATAGTGCAGGACTGCCTGCAGTTCAAGCACAGCCTGCTGCTTTCTTGCAGTCCAACTGTGCGTCATGCTGTGATGTTGGTTAGCTGGGTGGGCAAAAGGGGAGGAAGGGGATGCCCGGGTGTGAATGGAAGCCAGGCAGTCAGGCGCTGAACGAGATTGGCGCCGGGCGAGTGTTAGCAACATCATGACATTGTAGGACAACCTTGGTCAGGAAAGCAACCAATGGCGTTGGGAACCCAAGAGAAACGGACGGCAGCCGGGAAGGCAAACCGTGAGGCCGAGAGAATGCGAATAGCTTCACTCATGCACAACACCACAGAACGCCAGGGTACAGGGGTGGAAGCATTACCGTCATAAACAAGCAAAAGCAGATATGTACAAACAGGACATATGTACAGAGGGTATCGGTAGGCCCAACCACCAACACCAAGCCTCCTGAACGCCACGCCAAGCCAAACGCCGTCAGTGCTAGCTCTCGGCCGCCCATTTGCGGCCCCTCGGTCTTGACCGGGCAGTCTCTGGCAAGGGCTTGTGTATCCTCTTGGTCGGCTCCAGCACCGGGCTCCCTCTTCTCCTCCTGTGCACCGTCGCCGGACTGCACTCTCTCTCCCTCCGGCTGAGCCTCGCACGCTGCGGGTGGCGCGGATCGCGGTGGGCAGTGAGTACCTGGTCGAGGTCGCGCTCCGACAGGGGATGATGTGGTCGCGATGGCGAGAGACTTCGGTGCCGGCGGTGCGCGAGGGGTGGTTTCATATCGAGGAAGAAGGACGCCGGATGCGCCTCGGGTTTGGGCGTTGGTGTCTCGGAGTCTGCGATGTCGGATGTGGTGAGAGATGTGATTCTCTTGGGTGATTCAGTTTGAGGAGTTGAGTCGTCGTCCTTCTCAACACCATTGGCGATTGTCTTGGAGATCGTCGCCGCTTTAGGTTCCCTGTGCTCGCAATCGCAGCGTCCAGGTGCCGCACAGCAATCCGGCTCGGATTCCGAGAAGGAGAGCGCGCGGGAGGGTGCCGAATGGCCAAAGTCGAAGGCATGGTGCGAGTCGTCAATCGGCGAGGCGATAGAAGAGTCGGAGCACATGGTCATCGACCGAGGGGACGCAGCAAGCACCTGCTTAGGGTAGCTCGGATACTCAAACGGCTCGTCCATGATGGGAACTTCCTCATCCTCAAAGAAGGAGCCGTGAGAGTCGGTCAGAGATGGAGCATTGCTATCCGTCTCCGAAACCGAGCCAGAATCGGATGGCTTATACCATGGGTGGTCCGATGGAAGATACGATGCGTAGTAGCGGACGAGTGAGTCCAGTGACTTGGTACGGAAGAGCTGGACGGCGTGCTGCCACTGCTCGGTACCGATGAGAGAAGGGTTGGCGATGATCTCGAATGCCGCCGACTCGAGAGTCTCATTTAACTCGCGCAAACGCTGCTGCTTGCGGTCGCTGAGGAGACGGTGGAACTCGCCAACGGAGGTGGCTTGTTGTGAAATCTCGTAGACATCGTGGTGGAACGCCTCGGGGTCGAGAATAGGTGAGGGGACCGTGTTGTACTGATCGTGCAGGGTGCCGAAGAGGTCGTCCTTCTTCAGCCCGAATTTCCAGAAGGGCCAGTTCCAACTCGAGTCGGCTGGATCGTCCATTCTCTGGCTGCCGGGTACAGTGGATGGGGGGTTCGAGGGAAAAGGCAGGGGTTAAGTCGGGCGAAGAGCGAAAGAGGAGACCAAGATCGAGAACCGGAGACTGGGAAACTTTCTGAGATCAAGACAGACGGACGTGGTGTTCGAAGCCATCTAAGCGAGGGGTATGCGACAGTACATCGTGATCGTTTATTCTGGGCTATCGATTAAGGGGGTTGTCTGGTGTTGTGGGTTTGCCAACTTGAGGGTGAGGTGAATGGCGATGAGTATTGATGAGACAGAGTGAGAGGGTCGTCATGGAAGGATCGTTCGCTCGGGGGCCTCGGGGGGCGACGGGGTGTTTGGAATTTGCGACAGAGCCACAGTGCAGGTTGGCTGAGGCCCAATGCGGGACTGAAAGCGGAACACAGCAATCTGTGGCACGCAAGTTCCGAGACGCTGCATGGCTCAGCCAATCGCTTGTGCCGGTCTCAAAGCAGACCGCCGTTCAAGTGGAGACTGCATGCAGCGCTAGTTTCATCTCGGCCAATCAACAAAGGACAGGTTGGATGCAGTTCTTCTTGCTTGCCCAACCAGCGCTGCGGCGCTGCCACCCTCGGGTGTCATCTTGGTCATTCCTCCATCCTGGCAAAACAAACCGGGCGATGGAATCACGCCTTCGCACCTGTCAAGATGCATCCCTCATCAATTCCCCATGGTCGGAGGAGTTTGTTCACGACCACAACACCACAAGATGCATTTGGCAGCAAGATACAATATTATGGTCAGACTACAAATAAGCTGCAGGAACGACAAGGACGCGGCCAGGTATCGACCAGAGATGGAACTCGCAGCGCTTGGCCTTCGCCCTCGGTTGGCCCGGCCCATCGGACGTTGCCCTTTTTGTGCTGCCTCGTGATGACGCCAGTGTTGCTCGCAAAGGGGGGGATGTGAGCATAGCCTAGAGGAGGTGTGATGTTAACGCTAGCTGCAACTCAGCGGCACAGCACCTTATCCGTCCATTCAGCCCTCGACTTCTGCATCCATCATCTCCTGCACATGCTGCGTTCTGGATACCACGGGCGCGCCAGACGGCAACAGCCGGCAGCATTGAGCCTCGCTGGCAGTTTGGCACACATCTTCTGTGGAAGGTAAACCAGCCACAGAGCCTCGCTGGAGAGGATCCGGTTCATGCGGAGGGATTTGGCGTCAGATTACTGATTCGACATGTCAACAGGACAGGCACTGCCCGGCTCTTATAGAGACGCAAGATGGCCCGCAGCCCGCCGACACCTGAACATCGCGAGTGACGGCTGTTCAAGATGACGGTATCATCTGCCTGGCTCAGCAGCTTGAAGTCGAGTGCAAGGCGCCGTCTTGTTTTCGCGCGAACAGCAGCCACAGCACATGCGGCGACGGCCCGGTGCCAGGCACCCACGGCCGGTTCTCTTCTGAGAACTTCGATGGCTGCGCTCCAATCATGGGCCGCCGAGTGAGGCTGATGCCCCATCAGCAGGGCTCCCTCCACGCTCCCCGCGCTCTCACCGGGGTCCATCTGACTCTCGGTTCAGTGGTCATTCTCTTCAAGACGACACTTCTTCAGCGCTAAACCAAGGGCATGCGCAACGGGAATTGCTTCTTGTTTTCCCTGTTTATCTGCCGCTGCGTCCCAGCTTCTTTTTTCTCGACATTTGCTTCCGTGGCTTCTCCTCTCGCCATGTCGCACTGCTGGTGAAATCTCGGCTGCCTCGCTTCCTTCGCCCGGCTCATTCTGCGCCGTGTTCTTGAGCACTGATCCTGACTTGTTTTCACCCCATTCTTAAACACACCTGTCCTGAATATTGGTTAACCTAAGCCTCGCTATGGGTGACGCAAGAGAGTACTCGGAGGTCTCCGAGGACCGGACGGAGCCGTTCTCGCAGACCGAGATCCAGGCCCGCCTGCAACGGTCTCGAATGGAGGAGTTCAACGCTATCAACAGCTCTGTCCCGCTGGACAAGTTGGTGGTGCCGCCGGATGACGATATACGCATTCTTATGAGGCCGCTGGCCCGGGACCGCAGTGTTCGCGAGGACCGCAATGTTATGCCTGTTGCCTTGCGTCCTGAGGTAGCAGAGGAGGAGATGACGACGCAGGAGGTCCTGGCCGTCCGCCAGACGGCCCATTCTGTCAGCTACACCATCAACATTCCGGACCCCCAGATTCCGGATCGCAGAGTCGTGTGCATCGTGTACTACGACCCGGCCAGCGACAATCAGATCCTCGTCAACCGGTCCAATGTGCCTTTCACCATCTCCCGGATTTCTGAGGAGCCTGAGGAGAGCCGCGGTGTGCAGTACACCATCAATCCAGACTTCCGCAAGGCCCTTGCCCCGGGTACGTGGCGGATCACCATGGACGGCACTGATCTGCTGGACTTCCGCCTCCTCGAGAGACCGCCGATGCGGCTGCGGCCGGTCACGAGCAACCCGCCTGTCCCATCGGGGCCGAGTGACGCGGTGAACTCGACTGGCAAAAGGTCCTTTGTTTCCGGCGATGACGATGGCAGTCCGGAGAAGAGGCGCCGGCCGTCCGGGGCCGACGGTGACAAGAAGGAGGACAGCGTCATCGTGTTCATCCCCCCAAACACAGCTTCCAAGGGCAAGGAGCTCGTGGCATCCACTGGTCATCCGTTCCTCGACCTGCAGCCCAACGAAACGCTTGAGATCGCACATGGCGGAGGAGTTGTCGGCTGTACCCTCACGATGCAAGACCGCATTGCATCGTCTACTCTGTCCAGCGTCTTCACCGCACAGCACTCGGCAATACCCGGCAGATCCGTTGTCGTCAAGGTTGTCAACACCACGTTGGCTCCGGGGCAGAAGGCCAACGAGGGCGCGTTGGCTAACAAGGTCATCTCGCAAGCCCAGACGTGGCTGCGTGAGGTGGAGAATCACTCCAAGCTCAGACACAAGAACATCGTGCATCTGTACGGCGGCGACGCCCGATTCCTCTCTCTGTACATGGAACCCGTCATGATCCCAAACCTGGCGGCCTGGAGGACGTCCGGAACCGACCTGTTTTCGGGTGATCGAACCGACGCTTTGCGTATACTGGAAGATGCCGCCGACGCACTGGAGTACCTCCACCGGCTCCGCTTAGAGCACAACGACATCCGGCCCGCAAACATTCTGTTTAGCCGGGAGCGAGGAGCCGTGCTGTGCGACCTGGGCCACTCGACCGAGAACGGCCAGCGCTCCCCGGGCGGCACCCCGTGGTATATGCCCCCCGAATACATCGGTCTGCGGCAACGAGGACCTCCGAGTGACGTCTGGGCCCTGGGCGTGGTTATGCTCTATGTTATGGGCAAGATGTCGCTGCCCGAGTCGCGCTCCAACCGCAAGCATCCGCGATATCTGTTCTGGACTATCGCACACGTACACGAGAAGTCGCCACAGCTGCAGGCTACCGCCATTGCGAGGATGCGGACGTGGTTGAACGAGATTACAGCCGTGCGGAACGGGCTTGATGTCCATGACAAGCTGGAACGGCTGGTGCACGGCATGCTGGCGCCGAATCCCAAGGAACGGCTGACCATGAAGGACATTGTCAGCCAGTTGTTTGCTGAGCAGGAGGGATGAGTCAGCACACAGCTCGGGAATATTAACACTGTCTGCGCAACCTATCCGGATGGTTTGCAAGTCGGTTGAGGAAGAGTTTTACCCGGAACCACAAGCTATCTCTGCATCCGAGGACCCAACCGGGTTTATCAAACGCACCGTCTATCATTAACATCTCCTCATAGACTCATGCCCAGCGCAAACACCATCGCAAGCGCCATAACCGACGACAGCGCTGCCGCATTCACCCCATTCACCGCCCCGGTACCGGTCTTGGCCGTACCGTTGGTACCATTAGCCGGAGCATTAGCTGCGGTCACAACAGGCACCACCGACAGCCCGGTACTATTCGCGCACGCATTCCCCTCCAACGCAGTCGCGTTCGCCGAAAACACAATATCCGCGCAGTTGTACAGTGCATTACCGTCGTCGCCGACCGTGACGACTTGCAGACTTGCCTGCGACCCGTCCGTCACAGGCAGGTCGGCGGGGAGCGCCAGTTTGGGAACGCACAGCGTGCCGTTGCCCGTCTCGTTCCAGAAGGGGTTGGTCAGCGTGTAGTTGAAGTTGGACACGTCCGAGCCGAGGCCCAGGTTGATGAAGATGTAGGTCCAGGGGTGGTGCAGGTCCAGCTTGAGGCTACCTCCCGAGAGTGGCCAGGGCGTGATGGGGCGGTCGGTTAGGTTGCCTGGTACGCCGGCGCCTGGAATACATTGGGATTAGTAATCATGGAGACTAAGCGGAGGGAGAGGTGGTTGGACATACAGGGTTGTAGCCACTGGGAGTAGCTGCTGTTTCGGCTGCTGCCGAGGGTGTTGGCGCGCATCGGCGGATATTCGATGCCGAAGTGGGCTTGTGTGACGCTCGCTGTTGCGAGGAGGAGGAGCGCGAGGGCGGCCATTTTTGGGCGTTGTTTTGGAAGAGTGATGGCAAAGGGATGAAAGGCGGACGAGGGGAAGATGGTAAGCTACACCGATCGGTAGTACGTCAGAGTAACGGTACGCGAAAGGCAAATCGGGCAAAGAGTTGGGTGTAAAGCTGCGGTCTGGGCGAAGCATACGTTCTTATACTATGCCGTGCCTCGTCTGGTCCCAGGACACATGGATGCTCTTAGCTCTCGCTTCCCAGCACAGACTCGGGAAGGCGGCTCTGCATGCATGGCTAGCTTAGCAGTGCCATCACCAATCAATCCCCAGCACACCGGCGGCGCCACCTGAGCCCATTGAGCAAGTTTACTTGGTTCCATCGCTTTGTTTCCCCGGTCCTTTGAAGAAAGCTTGTCGTTAGCGCGGCCCTCTTCCCAAGGCAGTGGGTTGATGTCTGGCATTCAACCCCGCCAGGCGTTGGGGCAGCGTCCAATCATGGTTTGGCTGCGCTTCTCGAAAGGGCAAGTGTGTGGGAGATGGGGGGACCGGGCCTTGGCGCCTGGTGAAAGAGGCGGGAAATTTGCTCAAATCGACGCAGGCTCACTTGAACCACCACCGTGTTCTTGGATTCTGGGGGGTTGGGTGTCTTTTTGTACCGGACTTTGTTGCTGTGTCACTTTTGATTGGTAGAAAGTGCTGTTTTGCTGCTTTCTTAACAATCTGATATAGTTACTGTGATATGAACGGGATGAAACAATGTGGTAGAAGTTCTTGGTTAAGAGTTCAGGTAACCCTAACCCCGGCTGCCCATCTGTATGGTTCGCGAGGCACTTTTTTTTCTTCCCATTTGCCTTGTTTTTCCTTTTCCATCCCTGAGACCGATTTCAATACCTCCTCAACAGGAAATTGTTTCGTTATGAAATCGGCCAGCTTCATACATTAAGCCATCTTTCGCCGTCAACAGGGAGTGGAGATGGAGCGAGATGTGTGTGCGCCGAATCTCACCGCCGGCACTGAGGCTGCTTGTTGGCAACCCTGACCGCATTGAAGGTTTGCCCAATTCACATCGATATCATTTCGTGAAGCCAAATCTGCGTGTAGGATGTCAAGTTAGCATGTCACATGAGAAGATGCGCTCGACCGTGCTGGCAAACACCGAGGGATGCTCGCATTGCCTTGAGCTTGCACAGATGGTCGGGAGGATCTTGTCTCACATGGCGGATTCCCTTGACAAAGAAGTCCTCGCAAGGTTGGAAGGTTTGGGATGATAACGATGACAGCGGCCCCAAACCCAAAATAGTCGAGCTTCCCCAGCTCCAGCCTCCCGTCCTGCTGAAACGACGAGGACGCAAAGGGTGAATGGCCCCTGAAACGGCACCGGGCTTGGCAGGGGAAGCACGACAACAACCCTGTGGGCAACACCCGCGGTCGGATCGCCGGATCTTTGATCGGAGCGGCAAAGTTTCCATGCAATTCATTTTGCGGGCCCAGCGCCGGGTCTCAGATGCGACTGATCGACGCTGACCCCAGCAGAATCCATAGAGTCCCGGTTATCACTCGCAATTATGGTTCGCTCAACGTCTTTGTTGCATTGTCTCTGCTGCCGATCAAAGTTACCGGCGTTAGTCTACTGGTGTCTCGACTATGTTTCCACATCCTTGGACCAGATACCAAGACTAGGTGTCGGGTGCGAGCATCTCGACTTTATTTTTAGAGTTATTCGAAACTTAAATATGCCGTCTCCTTCACTTCAGATGGCTTCCAGATTGTTCCACTGCATCACCATTTCCATCTCTTGAGGTTCTTTTTCTCCGCGTCTGCTGGTTAGACTTCTTTGAGCTGGCACTCGATTCTATTCTTTGGTTCCCCACTACCTCCCAAGAACCCCAGAATGGCACCCCTCTCCTGGCGGCAGGCCGTCGTGGCCGCGCTCTTCTTCAGCGCCGCACACACGGCGCATGTCCGACCCAGACAGATCCTCGTTCCGGTCGGCAACGTTCAAGGTGTTGGCGCAGGCCAGAACCAAGCCCTCCTGGCCCAGCTGCAGGAAATTATCCAAGGCCTGCTCAGCGGGAATCTCAACCTTGGAGGGGCCCTTCCGGGGGTCACCACGACAGAAGCCGCTACGGCGGTGGCTACGGAGACTGCCGCGGCCGAAACAACCGCCGCCGAGGTGGCCGAGCCCGCCGAAGGTGCGGCTACGGAGACCGCTGCCGCTCAGACGGCGACTGAGACAGCTACAGAAACCGTCGCCGAGACTACTGCCGAGGCGACTGCTGAGACAACCGCCGCCGAAACCGCCGCCGAAACTACCGCGGAAGCCACTGCCGAGACGACGACCGTTGAGACCGCTGAGACCGCCATCGAACCCGCAACCGAGACAGCCGCCGCGGAGACGACCACAGCCGTCGAGACGACAACAGCTGCCGAAGAAGCTACCGCCAGCGCTACCGAGACTGCCACAGCCACAGTCGGCAACAACGGCACCGACAACAACGCTGGCCGCGGCAAGGGCAAGGGTAAGGGCAAAGAAAACGGCAACGGCCGCGCTAAGGGGAACGGCAAAGGAAAAGGAAAAGGCAACGCCCTCAACCTGCAGGACCTCCTCAACTTGCTCACCGGCGCCGCAGGCAACGGAACAGGCAACGCACTCAACCTTGAGACACTCCTGCAGCTCCTTACTGGTGAGGGCCAGGGTCAGGGCCAGGCACAGAACAACGGTGCGGTCCCTGTCCCCCAGCTGGAGGCTATCCTGCGGCAGATTGAACAGGCGCAGCGGCAGGCTCAGGAGGCGGAAGGGGAAGGTCGGGGTAAGGGGAAGGGGAAGGGGAAGGGGAAAGGAAAGGGGAGAGGGGATGATAGCGATGATGAGCAGGAGGATGGGGAGGATGATACGGGCGGGAGGGTGGTGGTGGTGCCGCGGCGGTTGAGGAGGAGGGCTTCTCGGGGGAGGTTACAACGTCCCACAAGGGGAGGGAAGTGAGGGTGGTCACCTGCTAAGCAACCATAGGGGCGGTGATTGATACATCGTGGCGTGGTTAAGGTCGCAGTAGAGGTTTTCTGCCTAGGAAGACCCAGGATTCTCTTGGCTTGGTTGTAACACGGCCGGATTGGGGATCTATTGAGGTGGCTTGATGTTATTTCATAAGTTGTCACTCTTCTGTATGATAGATTCTCAGAAGGCCGGATTGTATTCTCGGCGCAGGGCGTTCATCGGGCTTGGTCCCTTGATGACACCATGCCGGAGCTAGGCTCTGCTGCTTTCCCGCGAAGACGCGGACAAGAGAGAGTGAGACAGAGAAATTTCCGATGTATTCCTCCTCAAGTCCGCGGCAGGCGACCCCTGGTGACCCAATACACGTTATAATTCACCGCATGCGCGTCATAAAAAGGCGCCAGCCTCACCGTCTTCCCGTCGGCGCTGGCCGTGAACTCCAGCCCCTGGATACGGTGCAACGAGTCAAGCGCCAGCGTCGGCATCGACGATAGCGAGTTGTTGCCGTAGTCACCAGACAGAATAACCGGACCGTAGGCCACAGCCGCCACGCCGGGATTGTCATTTGCCGGCACCGTCCGTAGTGTCATGGGCAGCCGCACCGTGACCGTGTCGCCCGCTTTCCACGCGCGGCCGGATATCACCGCATACGACCCTGGCACGACACGGATACCGGAGTTCTTGCCGTTAATGATAATCTCACCTTTAGAAGTTGTCCAAGACGGGATCCGGATTAGCATGTCCCACGGCTGGTTGGTGCCGGAGCCGCTGACTGTCAGGGTTGTGGTGTCACCCACCGGGAATGCGGTGGTCTGGGTGATCGTGGCACCGCGCTCTGCCCACCTCAGGATTGATGGGGTGAACAGGTTCACAAACAACCGCGACTGGTCGTGGAAGTAGATCGAGTCCATCAGCTTGGTGTTCGTTTCCAGCGCCGTGCCCTGGCAGCACCAGAACGAGTCATAGTCGGTGCTCCACGTTCCGCCACCCCACGCCGGGCCAACACCACGTCGGCCGCCCGAGTTGAGCGGAGTGAAGTAGGTGACGTGACCATGGCTGTCAGCCGGATTCTGCTGTCCGAGGAGGTGATTGATCAGGGCGCGCTCGTAGAAGTCAAAGTAGGCCGCGCTGTCAGGATTGAGAGTCCAGAGCTCGCGTGTCAGCTTCAGCATGTTGTACGTGTTGCAGGCCTCGGCCGTGTCCTTCGTGAGGTACTGGGAGATGGCGTTGGGCGGGCGGAAGTGCTCCGCCTGGCTGTTCCCGCCAATGGCGTAGCTGTGTGCTGCGACGGTGATGTTCCAGGCGTTTCTGGCAATGTCCCAGTAGCGTATGGTCCCCGTGCCCTTGTACTCGAGGGCCGCTCCTATCCACTTGGGTACTTGGGTGTTGGCGTGCAGCCCGTTGAGTTTGTCTTGGTTGGATGCCAGCGGGTCAAACACGGCGGCATGATCAAATCGCTGCGCGACGGTGAGCCAACGCTTGTCGCCCGTCTGTCGGTACAGGTCGGCCAGAACTTCGTTCATACCACCAAACTCGGTACCAAGCATCGCCTGCATCTGGCCGTAGCTCAGCCGGCTGGTGCGGGTGTCAACCCATCCGGCCAGCGCCAGAAGGACGTCGCGAGCCTTGGTGTCGCCAATGTGGCGCCAGACATCAAGTAGACCCGCCATGGTCTTGTGGACGGCGTAGTATGGAACATTGCCATTGCTCAAGGTGCGTGCTTCGAGCGCGGTGAACTCGGACTCGGGGAAGCCGGAGAGGTAGCCGGCGCCAAACCCGGCGGCCTTGTTGTTGGCCTGGCACTTGGCGAGCTCGGCGACGAGGTAGGTCGCTCGGTCGCGGCAGAGGGTGTCCCGAAGCGAGGCGTAGCAGTGTGCCCAGGCCGTGAGGTAGTGGCCTTGGGCGTGCGTCCGGAAGGGGAAGTTTGGGGCATCCCATCCGCCGTTTGGAGTGGCTCCCTTAGTCGACAGGCCGTGGGTGGCCCGGAAGTTGTAGAGAAGGCGTTCGAGATCGACCCATTTCAGGTAGTTGACGGTCCGCTTCTGGTTGTCCATCCATCTGCTGTCGGTCAGGGACACGGCGCTCAGATTGAAGGGGGAAACCAGAGTGCTAGCTTCGGTGGCTGCTGGCGCGGCCTGGGCCACCGTGGGTAAGACCGTCATAAACAGGCCCAGGAGCGCGCCTTGGATACTGGAAAGCAGCATCTTGTGTTGTGCTCCCGGAAGTTGTTGAGGCTGCACTTCGTTGAGGATGACACCAAGGTGTAAAGAGTTCAAACATCCCACTGCCAATGACAATGTCTTCGGCGCAAAGGTTGGGCCATCGAGGCGATTTGAGGGGGCTTTATAGTATTCTGGCTATGGCGAGGCGTGGCGTACAATCCCCGCGCATCTTGAGCAGATGTAACCTCTGGCAGACGTCGTCAGCATGCCCCCGATGGTCTCTCGACGGGCAAGGTTTGCATTCAGCGAATATTACCTGCCGTTCGGTGCCCAGTGAGTTCAGACCACGCCATTGCCGAGCTCTCGTGGCAAGACGTACTCTGCCGTCAAGATGGGGATTCGTGGAATTCAAGGAGACTAGTCGACCGCCATTGGGGAGGTTAATACTGCATAGTTTGTGAATGTTGATCATCCGGAATCGATGCGGTTATTGGTGCGGTTAGGAGTGCTTCGGCATGCGACGCTGTCAGATGCAGCGACATCTGGAAGGTCGCAAAGCAGTTCAACCAGTGACTCCAGAGAAAATGCTAAGGAGACTTGCAACCCAGCTGCCATGTGGCCCCCTCAAGAATTTTCCCTTCAACGCGGGGCTGGGACTTGCACAGCCGTGTATGTGGCGTGCCGGAGTTCAGTGTCTTCCCCGCAGTCTGATCGAGAATTGGGAAGCCCCCGGGCAGAAAAAGAATCCATTCTCTCGCGAGTGAAGCATCGTAGTTGATTGAATTGGGTTGCGGATTATGCGGTATATCCTTGAGTCTGCCAGCAAACTTAGCATGGGGTGTTGTTGATGACAAGGATGTTAGTGTCGTGTCTGCTGTTGGTTGCGTTCCTTGCCTCAACCTAATGCAATGAAGTTGAGAAGCTCCGTACCTGACAGGTTGACCGGTGGGAGACCCGGACGGAGTGAGGTAATACCGTTTGGACTTGTACCCACACCTCCCCCTGGGGTTTTAAGGGTTAGCGCGAGACAAGCCCCACCGACTAACCGAAAGAAGCAAGCAAGTAGAGATACTTTGAAGGGAGTAGAAAAATCATTGATTTTTTAATACTCTGTACTTCCACGTTCAGCTGCAATCACTTTCCGTAACCTGTCGGGCATCGAGTGCGCTAGCCGCATTAATAGATCCTCCGGAATTGCATCCCATGCCTCCTGAATAGCCATACGGAGAGCCGCAAGACTAAGTCGTTGAAGATCTGGGTAGTGGTCCTTGATATAGTTCCTCAGCCAGTGCCAGAGGTTCTCTGTCGGGTTGAGGTCAGGGCTCCGAGCAGGCCACTCTAATACCTCAAGTCCAAGTGCCGTAAGTAGACGCCTGGTTGAGAGAGCTCTATGAGCAGCAGCATTGTCTTGTTAAAGACAAATTCGCAGCCGTTAGAATCCCAGAACTGCCGTACAAGTGGAAGTATAAGTTGTTGATATCTCTCGGCATTTATACCCCCGTATCCCTTCTCCTAGAAGAACCCGGGTCCCTTATACCGTCCAGCGAAGCAGCCCCAGAACATCCAGCCGTGTGGTTTTTGCCGAAGAAGTGCCCAAGTACGAGGGTCTTCAGTGTCGTGCACAGTAATCCACCTCTTCCACGTAGGGGTATTGGTAGCCCAAGTCTCGTCGCTAAAGATAACCTTCTCCCAGTCCTCAGGATTAGGTCGCAGAGCCAACTGCTCCTGTGCAAAGGCGAGTCGTGCAGCCCGGTGCTGAGCAGTTAGTTCAATCCTACAGGGGCGTTTCCTCCTCGAGTAACCCATTGATCGTATAGCATTGAAGATCGCAGTCTCTCCAAAGAGCTCAAAACCCGGGATCTAGTGCTTCAGATCTCCCCATGGGAGCTCGCGGAAGAATTTATCGGCTTCGAGGTAGTGGCGGAGAATCTCTTTCTGCGGAGTACGGATCAGCGGAAGTCTGCCCACCTGCCCAGTCTTCTGAGGAGTGACTGGTCCGTCGCAAGCGCGTTGCACCTGCCGCACAGTCACTCCTAAGGCGTGGGAAATCGCTTGATAGGACCACTTGGCATGGTTGCGCAGGCTCGCGCCTCTTTTTTCTGATCTCGGGAGAGTTCCTGGGCGCGGCGCCGCGTAGATGTCGTGGCTTGGCTCGCAAGTTCTGTGAGTTGCGGATGCCGGATTCGCTGACACTGCAAGCGGTAAAACCGCTCCGCGGCAGGCGAGTTATAGATGCTTGTATGGTTGATCAGAGCGCGGATATCCATCTAAGGCATGTCCAGATTAAACAGGACGACTGGACAAATGCAAGCGTTGTTGGAAGGTACTTTACGATACAAAATGCTATGGAAGTGACTTTTTAGAATGGCAAAGATTTCTATCGAGCTAAATAACCTAATGGTTGCTCCTTTTGATTAGCCGATGGGGCTTGTCTCGCGCTAACCTTTAAACACCGGGGGAGCTGTACCTTAGTTAATCTGCACTGTGAGCGAACCTTGCCCGAGCTTCAACACCCTCTCAGCGCCTTTTTCGTGTTGTATTCTTGTTTTTGCACAATGGTGACGTTACGGCTGCAGTTATGTATGTAATCAAAGGTAAGCTTTATCACAATCCCGGTTGCTTGATGGCGCCGCCGAAGCGCAGCCCCAGGCCGAAACTTCAATCATTCCTTTTCCATCAGCATGAGGGATGAAAACCGAAGCCTCCAACACATATTATTGATGCGCATTCTGTCCAGCCTTAACCTTTGAGCTGCCATGTTCCAGCGGCGCTTGATGTGACGTTGATCTTTACGGAGAAGGCATGAACAAGCCGGACGGTGATATCACTCGGCGGCACAACACGGAGCCTGATCAACCTGTCAGTTCATCACGTTCAATCCTTCAAAAAAAACTCTCAACTGGCAACGACAAGCGAATTCATTCATTTACTACTAAATCACTTCTTAGAGAGCACACGCCGCGCTTTTCATCAACCAAGCTTCTGAGCTTCCGAGTCTCTACACTAACTGTTCCAACACCAGTTGAGGAAGCACCGCCGGCCTTTGAGAGACCGAAATGACCGCCCGGCACATCTCAACACTCCTTCGGTCAGCCCTGCAGCGGCTGCCTGGCGCGGCGCCCCACTTGGCCAAGCCCTGCGACATTAGGGCCATTTCGACAACAGGTGTCCAACTCACAAAGGGGCCCTCACCGTGATGCATCCTCCAATCAGCCGGAGATCATGCTCGAGGACGAGAACGCCTTCGGCTTCATCCGCCACAACAGTCGTCCCCCAAAGCTGCGGAAAGTCGGCGTCACCGAGATCAGGGGGCCGTACTACTCCGTCATGCAGAAGCAGCCAGAATTAGAAGCACCTGCGACTGTGCGATGCTTGGAGCGCTCACCCGAGCACGCTGGCTTACCGAGCGCTTGGATTCGTTGTCAAGACATATGTCCGGATGTGTTTCCGTGATCGTCAGCATCATAAAGAAACTGCCCCAGGACACGATTGAAGAATCTACTATGTTGAAGAGACAATCTGGGGGCGCTCACAGGGACTGCACTCCGTCGGAGAGCTACACGGTTCAAGACCTCTTGATTATACATAAGGTGAAGGCGCTCGTCCACTTGAATGAGAAACACTTCAAGAGGTACGCAGCAAAGTCAAGCCTCTGCAGCAGTGCTACTCGAAATCTCATTCCGGTACACAGTTTACCTACCGTCCAAGTCCGCTTGCCGGCAGGCCGACAGGACCGGCCTACCCCAAAAATTGAGAGGATGAGAGGAGCGCAAGTACGAGTGGGCCCCTTTCCAACATCATTGGACCTCTGACTAATGCTAGTGATTTAGAGGCCACGTTCTGGCAGTTGGGGGACATGCCTGTAGTAGATATGTACGGTACTAGACGATCAACAAGATCAATCACGAGACCTTGGTTCACACACAGCCTATCGTCTTTTTAAATCTGTTGCAATCATTCTCCACGTCTCGAACCCCAGCGTGCAGTCGAAACTGGATGCTGATGCTCTGGACAGTCCCTTCACTACAACGCCGATCGCATTAGGATCAAAATGCCAAGTGGGATAGCCATCTTTGGAAAGCATAGTGTGGCTGATGCATCTGCCCGACGGTACACAACTTTGTCTCGCCGGTGAAAGAATCTGAGAGGGGCCGCCTGGCGGAACCGTGGTCTTCAGACATGGAGACGGTGCGTTGATCGTAGGGGGTGGAACTCCCAATCGCTGAGATCGCTCCTTCAACATTCAGCCTGGGATTCTTGTGCTCAAGCGGAGCACTAAACTACGTACCTATCAAGAGACCCATTCTCATCGACCCGCGGAGGCAGCGAGCTTTCAGAACCAGGCGGCTCGTGTTGTCAGGTCCACGGGTATTGGGAATAAGTATTGGCAATCGGGTCTCCCTCCTTGGCAAATATCACAAAGCCACCCGTTCAAGTTGAAGGAGGGACGGCAACTTCTGGTTGGATGAGGTAACGGGTTGAAAGGGATGGTTTTACAGAGCTGTTGGAGGCCAAAAATGGCAATGAAGGAAGTGATTGTGTGCTTCGAAACCGCCACCGCCAATTCCATAAACTTCGGTCTGCTAGTGACCACGACACATGGCACTTCTATCCCTGCCTGCAGGCATGCTTTCTTTCGAGAAGAGCAAGGATCGACCGCCAAGTCGCTTGGTGATATCCAGCTCCGGCGCGGTTGCACATTGCCTGAGAACCGAGTCATGACCGCCATGCTCGTTGTAAGTGGGAAAGAGGGCAGCGACCGGGCATTCCCCTAAACTTTTGGATCAAAGGCAGACGCAGACCTCTTCAATGCCAGGAATGCCCATGAATCTCGTCACCTTCCCCGCATTTTCCTTCTGCACTACTCCCTTGTCTGTCATCGACTGCCGTCGCCAAGTTGGACGGCGCCCTTGGCGGTAGCTTGGCAATGGCCTGGGGAATGGTCCCGACCTCTTGGATCGCGCTGAATTGGCTTCCGAAAATATCTCGGCATGACTTTGCAGTGGAAGGGCTAAAGGTCGCCAGAGCGCGCCCTTATCGGATCCCAGGCTCGGCTGACCTAAACATCTTCCGCCTTGACAAGTCCCCGATCCGATATCAGCAAGTTACCAAACACATCGACGCTCCTGCCACCCGGATTCCTCCGTTTCGACCATTTGCGCTGCTTGTTGTACATGGTTTATTAACTGAACTAGGAGTCGTCAAGCCTACAACCAGCTCTGGCTCTCCAGTTTTCGCGCTGAGGATCTCCATGCCGCAACCACAACGGCCCTTCCGTCATCGCCGACATCCCTAACACGAGAGTCGCTGGCTGCATTTTGGAACCGCGCTATGGCCGCACCGGCGAATGCGGCAGTGAGGGAACGCAGACGGCGATCAACGCCGCTCGATCTGGAGCGAATGAATGTGATGAAGGCCCTGACGGCGGCCGAGCACTCCAGGAGGCAGTTCATCCTGAACTTTGCTGCTAGCATAGATACGCAGCTCCTGGTTCCAGGCCAGAAATCCAATGCCGTCAAGGCGGCCGAGGAGTGGGTTGCGCTCCAGCTCGCCCAGGATGGCTACCAGGCCGTGAACAGCGACTTCTTCAAGTACTCGGTGGACGTGCGCCTGTGGTCTACTCATGGTTCGTTCACTCTGCGATTCCTCCTCTTCAAACCGCTGACCCACGACAGTTGGAAATGACCTGGAGTTTCCGTTCGCGTTCATGCGAGGAAAGGGCGAGGCCCCCTCCAGCGACAGCTCCGAGGCGGATTACAAAGACGTCAACAGCGAGGCTCTGGCCGGCCAAGAGAACGACATCCGCAAAGGAGAGGTAATTTCCATGGCGGCCTCCCCGCAGTCCTTTGCGAAATCCTCCCAGATCATGTCTCCGAGGAAGCAACAGTTCACGCCCCTTACGCCGCAGACACGCAGACAACGGTCGATTACGACTCCGGGATCTGCGGATAATTCTGTGAACAAGCGAAGCTGGTCCCTGAACACTCTCGATGAGCTCAACGATTCCAAGACAAACCAGGGCCGATTTCCCTTCCTTGTGCGCCTGGGCCGCTCTTGGTCGCGACGCCGGTCTGCTGCCACTTGACTCTCACGGGGCTGGATTCATTCTCCAGATTCAGCAGACCTCAACACCACGAGGCACAGCGGCTACGCCCGGGCTGCCAGAAGTCCACATGGCAACCCAATCACTCACTGCAAACGAGGAGGGTCACATCGGGGAATGTCGCTCTTTGCTGAAAACGGGGAGGAGGGCCACATGTCATCGCGTCATGACAAGGGATGGGCAGTCGACGATGGAGGGCGTAAAAGGCTTGGCCGAAACACTGAAGCAACGGCAGTCTTCTGCAGTCCGTTGCACTGCCACGACGCCCAGACGTCCCAGCCGTCGGCTGGCCACATGAGCTCGGCGCTTGGCCAGTGAGCGAGGGCGGGAAGGGACGCTGATTATCTGATGGACAGGGCTTGGCCGTTACTTGGCTTTCCTTGGTATTGGACGACTCCGGTCTTGGCTGGCGCAAGTGCGCCGCGGAACTGAGGCAGGGCTGCCGGGCAGGTCCTTTGTTCTGGTTTCTTGGCTCGTCTGGGTCCTTCAGGTTGGCCTTCCTTTTTGTGAAGTGTGTTGCTTGCCGTTGAAGCATAGGTGCGTCATGAGTGATGATATGCTTTCTGTATTTTTCTGTCAAAGTTGTTCAAGAGGACGGTGAATTTAGGGACGATGATTTATTCATGCAGTTGTTGACAGTCAAGTGTTTTTCCTGCTCAGACATCGTGCTGATGATGGTCTGATAACTATCTCATTTATAAAGAGAAGTCAGGCCCGGTGGTGGTGGTCGTCGTCGTCGTCGTGGTAGTCTTAAGTGTTCCAAGGTCGCCAGTAAACACGTGTGTTCTGGTTCATCGGCTTAAGTCCGAAGCCGGCGTGAGCGTTCCCGGAAGCCGACGCCGGCGCGGTAAAACCTCGCCAGAGTGGCGCCTGGGCCCGGCCCGGACTCCCGTTCCCGTCTCCACTTTCAACGACAGCCGCTCGCAGGACGGTGGAAGCGGATGACAAATCCACTCACCCGGGCTTCGGTCAAGCTTCGCCAAATGCGCCTCGCATCTTTCAGAAGGCGGAAGAATCGAGCCGATGCCACTCTTCAGCGCTAGCCGACAACAATCGTGATGGTGTTGCAACTACCAAGCCTCTGACTCCTCGCCGTCGCCATATCCCGATCCACAAACATGCTAACTCCGGGCCTAAGTCCATGGACGTTCTGTAAGACGCGGGCAGACGTGCTGCCGTCGATGGGGATATAACTCGAAGCGGCGCCGATGTGAATGACGATCCAAGTCAGTCAACAGCCGCTTTCAACTCAATCACATCACCATCTCGCAAGTCAAACACCGCTCAACGCCACAGCAACCATGCCTGTCTACGTCGTCACCGGAGCTCGCACCGGCATTGGCCTCGGCTACATCCGCGAGCTCGCCAAATCCCCCGCCAACACCGTCTTTGCGCTGGTGCGGTCCCTTTCGGGCGACCTCACCGCCCTACGCGCCATCCAGACGCCGGCGCAGGCCACAATCCACATCTTGGAATGCGACATCTCCTCGTCCGAGTCCATCGCCGCCCTTCCCTCCCTCCTCACCGCCAAAGTTCCCGATCTCAAGATCGACGTCCTCATCAACAACGCCGCGGTCCTGCACTCGCGCGAGGAAACCGCCCTGACCCTGTCCGCGTCGGCCCTGCACTCCCACTTGACAAGCAACGTCCTCGGCCCCGCCTTGACGCTGCAAGCCCTCCTGCCGTTGCTGTCCCCCGCCGCGCGCGTCGTCAACGTCACCTCGGGCATCGCGAGCATGACCATGGTGCTGGACGGGCGGATCAACGCCGAGATCACGCCGTACAGCATCAGCAAGGCGGCGCTGAACATGCTGACGGTACATCAAGCGAGGCAGTTAAGGGAGGGCGAGGATGGGAAGTGGAAGGGGGTTGTGGTTGTGTGTGTTGACCCGGGCCATGTCAAGACTGAGATGGGCGGGCCCAAGGCGAGTGTTGAGGTGGAGGATAGTGCGAGGGGGACGTTGGGGGTTATTAAAGGGTTGAAGGAGGGGGATAGTGGGAGGTTTCTGAATTTTAGAGGGGAGGTGTTGGAGTGGTGATTAGGTGAGGGAGCAGCCTGTGGGGAGACGTGGGAGGTGATTGAGAAGGGGGGTTGCGCTAATTGAAGCGAGGGGGTAGCTTGGCCTTGCTTTGGCGAGTGGAAAATGATGATGTTCTCAGACACTGGGTCCCTTGACGTGAGAGTTATCCGATGGTCTTTGTGTGAACTGGCAGAAGTAGTTACCTTACATGAATTTGCCCAAGATTCCAGCACCAGGATCGTGCTTGTATGTTGCTCAGCTCTTGATATCATGTCCCTGTTGCCACACCCACGAAGGAAACCCTTCCTTCTGGACGATATGGTGGTGACCAGCTGACTCAGCCATGTTGGCTCACCACCCCACGTTCCTCGCATCAAAGTCAATGCTATCTTCCACCCACTCGCTTGTAACCTCGAATCCTGGGGGCAGGTACATTGAGCTGATGAATGGTAACAAATCTACTTAGCGTTGCTCATCCGGACAACGGTTAAATGTGAACAAATCTCACAGAAGGCACCTCTTTGGCCGCCTGGGCTCGTTTAGGCCAAGGGGCCTAACCCCAGCTGTCGAAGGTGCCCGTCACAGAGACTTCGACAGCAGGACCGTGGCTGAAATTATTGCGGCGTGGTCCCTTGTCACTCCCACATGTTGCCGCCGACGGTGCTACCCCCTCGCTCATCTTGGGTTGCCGTGGCTGTCGACTTGGCTGAGGCTCCCGCCTCTATTGGTGAACTCGGCTCGTCAATTTCGACGGTGCTCTTTAGGCTCCTTACCCAGAACTCTTGTGCTCCCGGGGCAGATCTTGAAATTCTTCAAGAACTTCTTGCTTTTATAGGTGTAATCGACACCGAACATGCTTCCGGGAAGGTCCCCAAAGTCATATTGGTAGGAAGGTAACGCAGATCGATCGTGTCTGAAACGTAACAACCTTTGCAGAGCACGCCACGCTCGACTCGGCCAGTCTTGCGATCCGGGTATGGGAATACGGTGGACACCATGGCAGTCGTCCAACTCTCGATACCATGGGGTCATTGCGGCTGCAGAATGAATTGTCGTAGTGGGTCGGCGCTCGAGTTTCATGTATTCTCACCAGTCGGCAATGTCCCAGCTGACAAGTTTCTGGCCACCCGTGCGCCGTACTTGTGGCTCGGAGTAGGTCCCTGGGATGGCATGCACATCGGGAAGGTGTTCGCATAGCCATGCTTGAGGAAGGCCGGTGTAATTGGCGAAATTGGCGATGCCAACCACCCGCAACCCGGAAGTATTTCGGAGACAATTATAGCAGCAGCGCCTGATTTCCAGGAGCAAAATGTGGCCTCCAAACAGCCGCAGACGAAGCACTTCTTTCAGTATAGCTCCACGTGTAAGTCGGCCAGCGTGAAGCGGATGCCGATACAGGTGCGCAGGGCAGCCCGAACGCTTCGAGGGCATGGTTGACGACATCTCGGTAAAATGACAGACCGGAGAGGATGACGCGGGCCGATCGGTTGACGTTGCGGAAACGAAACACCGAGAGGTTAGGATCATGTTGTGGCAAACGGCCAATATGATTTCGACGGGCAACTGGCCGAGGTCGCCGAGAGAGGATATTGCCGGGATCGAAAAGGGTCAAATATTGGGGTGCTTAACCGGGACGTGCTCATCAGGCGCAGATCAAATCATGACGAGGTCGTGGTCGTGACAGTGGTACGCGGCGACGAAGAGGACGGCGTCCTCTTTCTCAGCCTGAAACTCGACAGCCATGGTAAGTCGATGTGAATTACGGAATGGTGTTGATTCCTGAAGTGAAACAAAGAGTACTAGTGCAATTTTGAGTCTCAAAAGTGAATTGAAAGATTGCACTTAACTATTTGTTGACTATTATAACCGACTAATCGTCTGAACCAAGCAAAGTTCAGGGGTAAGAACTCACAGTGTAGATATACATGTATAACGCTATATATACGGTGCGATACACGGTGCTGCGGGCTTTTCGGCAAGGACCGCCTGCCGCCCATGGCCTCAGATGACTTCTGCATTATCCCGGCAGCCGCACTCAGGGCCGGTCCACATTCAACATGGAGCCCGCCAATCAGCCAGCAGGAGTGCGAGTTGATAAAAGTTCCTCGGCTCTCGCGTCCCGCAACACCAGCAACCGCATCCAAGCGCCAATGGAGCCCGAAACCGAGAACCTCGACGTAGTGGTCATTGGGGCCGGCCTCAGCGGCATCAATACGGCCTACCGGCTCAAGACGCAGCTGCCGCACCACAGCTATGCCATCCTTGAGGCGCGCGCTGAATTGGGCGGGACATGGGCCTTCTGGAAGTACCCCGGCATCCGCACCGACAGCTCCATGGGGCTGTTTGGTTTCTCGTGGCGGCCCTGGCCTCACGAGGTCAACATGGCGCCCGCGCCCGCCATCAAGCAGTACATGGAGGAGTGTGCTGCCGCCGAGGGCATTGACAAGAAGATCCGCCTCCGCCATCGCGTGGTAGTTTCAAGCTGGAGCAGCCAGGAGCAGCGCTGGACCCTGCAGGTCGACGCGAAGGGAGAGGACGGAACCGTCCACCGCAAGGTGATCAAGGCGTGGTGGGTCATCAATGCCAGCGGCTACTACAGCTACGAGAAGCCGCTGCCTGCCGTAATCCCGGGGATTGAGAGGTTCGGCGGGCAGGTTGTGCACCCGCAGTTCTGGGACGAGAAGGTCAATTATTCCGGAAAGAAGGTCGTCATCATCGGGTCCGGAGCAACCGCCATCACCCTGCTGCCCGCCCTCGCCAAGACCTCCCACAGCGTGACCATGCTGCAGCGCTCTCCGTCCTACGTCATGAGCCTGCCCAGCAAGAACAGTACGAGCGCCTTCCTGTCGAAGTACATGCCGTCATCGTGGGCGGCCCAAATCCACTGGTGGCTCAGCATGCTCATCGAGACGCTGTTTGTTGGGTTCCTCAAGACCTTCCCTCAAGTGGGGAGGCGCTTCATCATGAGCGAGATGCGCAATTCCCTGCCCAAGGACTTCGACATCGACAAGCACTTCAACCCGCGGTACAACCCCTTCGAGCAGCGCCTCTGCTTCTGCCCCGGCGCCGACTTCTTCAAGGCGCTGCACCGGCCCAACACGCGCGTCGTCACCGACAACGTCGAGACCGTCACCGAGACGGGCATCCTCCTGAAGTCGGGCGAGACCCTCGAAGCAGACATGATCATCACCGCCACGGGCCTGTATTTCTCCCTCCTCTCCAGCGTCAAGGCCACCGTGGACGGCGAGTCGGTCAACGACACGCTCGGCACCCGCTACATATGGAATGGTGTGATGCTCGAGGGCGTGCCGAACTCGGGGCTGATATCGGGTTACACGGCCGCCACGTGGACTCCCGGCGCGGACGCGCGCGTTCGTCAGCTTATCAAGGTGATTAAGTATATGGACAAGGTCGAGGCCACGATGGCCATGCCGTGCATTGAACCCGCCGAGAGGGCCCAAATGCCGGTGCTGCCTGGCATCAATCTCAGCTCGACGTATGTCGTGTCGGCGATGGATCGCTTGCCCAAGATTGCCGGGAAGGCGCCTTGGGTGAATGGATCGAATTGGGCGGTGGATATGTGGCGGCTGATGACCAGCAATGTCAGGGAGGGCATGAGGTATACGTTTGCCGATAAGAAGGGTATCTGAGGCCTAGTGATGCATGGTGCTTGAGGCAAGCGGTGAAGTTTTGTTTCTGAATCACTCGATGCTTGTTTGAGCCGTATAGAGCCATATCTGTATCAAGTTCTCAGCTGAATAATAGTAATACGCCCCCACGTTTACTCGTTGCGGTTCCCAGAAGTGTGGTCCCAGGCCACCATAATGTTTTGTTTCTCGCTTGTGAGGGTGACTATACTCAAACCTCCCTAGACACCTCTATTGCTTTACTCTCAAACCTCGAACCCGAATACGTCACAGCCACCAAGCAGCTTAAGCAAGCAGCACAACACTGACCAGTGAAAGGAGCAACCAAACGACATAGCTGATGCCAGGCATACTTCTCACAGGCTGGTGCGGAAATCTCAACATGTCCCAGTCAGCCTATATATAGCTGTAGAAAGTACAGAGGATGGGATGAGCCGCCGGATGATTCAGAGCATACCATCAAGAGCACCCATGGCGCCATTGTGTGGAGGAGACCTGACTCTATATCTTGACCTTTATTACCGTAGCACCTAAGGACACCTGACAGCTCTTCTTGCCAACCCACCCAAGAACTTGCCTCTGGGGATGAGTGGTTTTGTTACGTAGCGGAGGCACAGGCGCCTGCCCACAATGCTTTGACTCAAAGGATGCATCATTTCACAAGCCGGCACAGCTCAAAAGAACCTAAGAATCAGAAATGATGATGGTGAAGGGCGACTGGGAATGCCTCAAACCTACGCTTCCGTTCCAACCGCTCCTGCATGTGCTACGCGAGCCCCGAAGCCGAACGCCGAACTGATCCATGCCCACCGCCTTTCAAAAATTTATATAGAAGGTTCAAAATCTTCCATCATTCTGCTCTCCTCCTCAACCACAAAACAACGCACTCAGACGTTGTGGGCTCTGTACAGAGCTGTACCGACTTCTTTCAACAAGATCCTCCATCAACCCTCAACCCGCATACCACGAGATCCGAGGTTGCGATCACCAGCGATTTCTTTTCACTCTTTCGAGGTATCTGAATTTTCTGCTTGGTTATTTAGCTTGACCAAGTCCATTCCGTCCATGTTCACAACGCTGACCGAGACCGAATCTGACATAGGAAAGGCACATTGCGACCACCGATCACTTCCATATCCTCGGTTATCTTCGGTCTTGAGCGACAACAATGAAGGTGAGTAAGCACGAGGATATCCTCTTCCCAGTATTGTGAGCACTGCACTGACACACCTTGTTCCCAACCAGGCTACAACCATTCTCCAGCTCCTCGGCCTTGGTCTGAGCGCCCAACCGACTCTCGCTGTTCCGATCAATCCGCCCGCCACGGCCCCGGACCTCACATCCCGGGAGCTGGCCGCCGGGATTCAGCAAGAACCCCAGCAGGAGTCCTTCCTCAACTGCAGCGGTGGCTACACCACCTGGTGCATCCAGATGGGAACCTACTGTGACGGTGATACTCATCCCTACTCCTACAACGCATGGTGCGCGCTCAACTGCGAGTGTTACTACTACCAAGGCTGCTGCACTGTCACCGGCTTTCATGGCAAGGATGGGGAGGGCGAGGCTGCCTCGAAGGACGACGCTCCATCGAAACTTGACGTTGCCCTGCACGGCACCGGAAACACCGAGACCGCTGGCGCTGAGAAGGTCGGGACGACTCAGGTGGCCGAGGCTGCTGATGCCGCGCCGATCGATGCGCACGCCACGCCCCCGGACCTCACCTCCCGGAACGTGGCCACCGAGAAAGTCTTCGACATCGAGTGCACCTCTGGCCTGACTGAGTATTGCAGAAAGGCCGGCTCATTCTGCACGGATGGTGCCCATCCCGCTTCCAATGACCCGTTTTGTGAGCGCTACTGCGACTGCCTCTATCCGCGGGATTGTTTCGGAGACGGTCGGCTTGGATTCTGCTGAGCCTGTCAGCCTGAGTGATTGACGGCATGGATTGAGGCTGCTGTCACGGTACAGGTGGAGTGATATGCTGGGAAATGGGACGGGTCTTGCTTTAATATTGGGCGTTGTCTTCAGGTACGGTGCGGAGGAATCAGTGGGTGTTGGGAGTCATCGCTCAACACGTCACTTCGCAATAGATATCTTACTCTCCCACAACTCAGAATCTTGACTTGCGTGCTTTCCGCAGATGGTGGAACCTGTTCTGCCAGTTGCCCTCCTTGTCCGGTTTGACGGAGGATGTAGTTCGGATCATGATCCTGAACCTTCCGTGTCGGTTTTGTTTGTGCAAGCCAACAATCAACACACCCGATCTTCTATCATCTCCTCCACAAACCTCACACAAAGCGCCATGAATAAAATAATCATGGGCTCGGCACCGAAGCGGCATCTCTAGTACCCAGTCTTCTTCCTCGGCTTCTCCAGCCGCCAGACAAAACTGAATAAAGCCAAGAGGCAGCTGAAGAGGCTCTGATATCTCTGGGTTCCCTTCACACACCCTATGGCCTAGTAGGTCATATCTTGAACCACCCTGCCAGGTACATGACCAGATGAGGGCTGGTTTCGTCGCGAATTGCCCCCAGCCTGGCCAGGTTCTGAGTTCGGGGTTGCCAGACCCGTCGGCCCAAGCCCGAATCCGTAGTATCCGCGTCCGCAACGTACGGCGTGGTCTGCAACATCCTCAACTCGCCACTGAGATTCTTCCTCCATGCTTCATAAATAAAAATAAAAATAAAAAAAGAGGATGAACTGGATACCTTTACAAATTACGGCCTGGACATGTGCAGTTTCCAAACGATCGCTCTCTTCCAGAGGCAGAGCGCCAGGCGGCCTGTGATCCCCGGTATCAGACAAAGTCGTCCCAGTAAAACGAATTGTATTCAACCTGATTTTCCAGGTCAGAGACAGGGTTCCTTGAATGACAGCCCACAGCACCCCATCCACCACAATTCACCCATCATCAAAGACCAGGTTGTGTGAGCTTCAACAAATTTCACAAATGGGCCAGCCGTACAAACAAGACACCCTGTCCATTCATCTGTTAGCCATTCAGTCTACCACTGGTGCAGAGAATGGGATAGAGGAAAACGTACGCGCTTCTCCAAAGCAGTGCTGGACTGCTCCAAGCGGGCGGCCGGGGACGCCAGGGCCAGGCCGGCGAGGGCGGAAGTGAGCAGGGTGGTGGAGCGCATAGTGAAGGGTTTTGGTTTAAAGTTGGGGAGTAGGCTGAGTGCTTGGTAGTTGATGGGGCGGTGTGGGATGTGAATGATGCAAGAAGTTGGGAAAATCGACCCTCATTATAGAACGACTCCATCAAGAAGAAGTCCTCTTGAGCCCATCTCGCCCGCTGCGCTACCCCTCCACAACATCACGACCACGGACTGGGCTCTTCTGGGTCATTATGGATCTTCGTCTTCGAATGTAACTCTGACAGCAGGCCAAGCAACCATGCCACATACTCTCCCAAGGAACCCAAGGTACGCACCAAGACTGTCTCAATGACCTACCTCTCAACAACAGCGCCATGTTGAACTGGAGTCTGCTGGGCCGTTCTGCAATATCATCCTGCAACGGAACGCTGACAGTGGCTCTCGCAGTCCATTTATGTAACATGTAGAAGTTGTGTATTGCTGTTCGGTCCACAGGACCGGCGAGCCCTTGTTGTTTCCAGCCTGGTGTTTTCTAGTGCCTTACAACTCGAAGAACTAATGTTATCGAGTGGATACCGCCACAGCTGTCTCAAACTCACCGGACATTCTACAAGTGCTTGGATCTGGAGCCTCCCTGCAACGATCGATTACATGACGCTGCTGTTTCTTCCGACCCAATATCGGCCAATACGACTTGAATGTGTCATGTTGGCCGGGGGTCCAGTCCACTTCCCGGCTCGCAACCGAGCGGCCACAACCCCAACATTTCCAGGTTGCGGCTCTCGGCAATGAGTTGGTGATGTAGGCATCTATTGTATGTCTGTTGCTGACAGTGCTTGAATTTTGCATCATCCAACCTTCCATAGCCTACCGTGCAACGTGGATGGATCTTGTGCTGTAGGCAGTGCGAGAACCTCACGTTAAGTACGTTCGTACAGCCGTAGGCTGAGCGGACTGCAGACCCAATTCATCGTTTCCAGCCCCAACTGCAAGAGAACTCGCTAGTGGTGGGACGGCTCGACAGCCTCATTGGTAGGCTGACAACTCCCCCTCTCCTTTCAATAACAACTGCGCTGTGAGTCTTCCCGAATTTGAACCCGATGTCTGAACGCCGCCTTGGCACAGATGCCCCGTGAACCCAGAAAGTCAGGTTTGATTTAAATCTCTCTGCGTAGCATTCCAGTGAGCATACGAAACAAAATACACAGACGTTGCTCTGCTCTTATTGATGTTGTCACAGGCAGCTTCTCATCGCTTGAACATAAATAGTCTTTTGCTGCCCCTGTCACCCTGCCGTCATAAGCAGTGTCAGGACAAAAACATACCGTACCTGCCTACCTGGACTTTGCTTCTCATATTGTTCTTGACAATACGACCGACGGGACAGAGACGCTGCTTCTATTTAGTGATGTTGACTTGAAGGGCTCACTTACTCCCGCCTACAATATCCCCAGCCCCATTCGGCCCAGCCCTCAATGCCGATGTTGTATCCGTATTGGGGGCTCCGTCAACTGAGGCCACCAACGCAATGGGAAGAAGCTCGCTTCGAGGCTTGAGCGTCGTATACGCGTCTTTTCCCAAGCGCTTGGGACCTATATCACGCAGCGCCAAGTGTCCAAAATCACACTGTGGCTTGTAGACTCAGCTCCTGGCAGGCCTAAAAGTTTGGGTCCAACAATCCGGCAGAATCCTAACCGTAGCAGCGCGGCATGTTTCGACGGACTGACCTTGTCGAGAGACGCTCGGTGTTGAGCAAATTGGCGTTTTGGGAATAGCTGAGCATGTCGGGTACTTTTCCGCGCATGAGACGCTGACCTGGCAGAAAGGGGCCAGCTCATCGGTTCCATGTCTCCAATTGATTGAGACGGGTATAATGATCGGACTGGACCAGACACGGCCCATCATCGCAAAGGATGGGAGACTTCTGGTCGAATGTGGATCATTCATCTTTCTGAGCCCGATCACTAGCATCTCGGCATGCACAACATGCGAGCAACACTGGTCCCCATCCATCTCTGCCTGGCCACTGCATTGGTTGAGAGACGGACGGAACTAAGACCGGCCATCTCGCCAGCGGCTTCACACTGGAAGAGGAGCGTGAGGCTCGCTAGCGACCAGGTCCTCCAAATAGACCTGGCGCTGTCGGTCGATCAAGACATCTCCGACAAAGCGGCACAAGCCCTTGAGACCATCTCGGACCCGGACTCGCCCAGCTTTGGGCAGCACTGGACTCTAGACAGAATCGCCCAGTTCTTTGCGCCGCCCAGGGAAAGCATTCGCCAAGTGGGAAGATGGCTCAACAGTTCTGGGGTGCCGCGATCAGCCTTGCTTCTGTCCAGGGACGGCGCCTTCTTGTCGTTCAACACCAGCGTTGCGCAAGCAGAGAAGTTGCTGGGAGCCGAGTTCCACCTGTACCACTCGCGTATCGGTGCCGCGACCCAGACGGCGTCCGAGCGGTACTCGCTGCCATCACGCGTGGCCAGGTTCATCGATTACATCCTGCCCGCTCCCGAGCCGGACCCGGTTTCGTCGGCTCTTGAAGTCTGTTGAAGTACGGCGCCCGCCGTTCCAGGGCGAGGGAATTGGCGCTCGCCAAATTCGCAATATCAACTGCTTGCAATACATGGCGCCGCAATGCCTCCGACAGCTGTACAACATGAATGACGGCGCCGGCCAGACAGCCCACCCCAAGAACTCGCTCGGCATGTACACGCCTTCCTACGGCGCGTGGGTGGCCGAAGATCTCGATATGTTCTTCACTGATTTTGCTTCGGACCTGGTCAGCCAGCGGCCCGTGTTCATGTCGGTCTCGGCGGCGCGCGGCAGACCGAGTACAAGCTGCCCATCTTCAACCTCGAGGCCAACCTCGACTTCCAGTAAACCATGGCCATGGCGAAGCCGGTGCCCGTCACCAACATCCAAGTGGGCGACCTCATCGTGCAGGGCAACCTCAACATCATGCTGGCCGCCTTCAACAAGCACTACTGCCGCACCGGCCTGGACCCGCAGTTCGACCCAGTCTACCCCAACCCGCGGGCGGGCGGCTACAACGCAACCGACTGCGGCACGCACACGCCGCCGCGCGTCATCGCCATCATGTACGCTTTCAACGAGGCCTCATACTCGGACGCCTACGCCCGCCGCCAGTGCCTCGAGTTCCTCAAGCTGGGCCTGCAGGGCGGGACGATGCTGACGGGCTCGGCCGACCGCGGCCCCGCCGACCAGTTGACGTACTGCATCGACCGGGATGATCCGAAGAACAGCACCGCCAGCGAGGGCCATTTCTCCATCGTCTTATCCGCCTCGTGTCCGTGGGTCACCTCGGTCGGCGGCACCCAGTTCCTGCCCGTGCCGTCGAACAGCACAGGGCTGTTGGTAGTAGTATGCCACGGCCTTTTCCAGGCGAGACGGCGCTCGACAACAACAGCACCGTGTCCTCGGGCGGCGGCTTCAGCCGTTTCTTCCCAGCCCCCTGGTACCAGGGCAACCTCACGCGCGAGTACCTCGCGGCCGCGCCGGGCGCCGCTGAGCTGGCGAGGCAGGGGTACTTCAATGCCGCGGGGAGAGGGTACCCGGACATCTCGGCCATGGCGAGGAGTTTTCTGGTGAGCCTGCATGGCGGGTACCGCGCGGTGTCGGGCACGTCGGCGTCGACGCCCGTGGTGGCCGCCATGATCGCCAAGATCAACGACGCGAGACTGCACGCCGGCAAGGGCACCGTGGGCTTCATCAATCCTGTGCAGTACGCCGCGAGAAATAAAAGGGGCATACCGCGAGATGTGCAGCACGGCAAGAATTGGGCGTGGGGCGTCAGCGAGACTTTCCCGGCTAAGCAGGCGTGGGAAGCTGTGACTGGGTTGGGAACGCCGGATTTTGAGAAGTTGAAGGATTTGTATCTTCGGCTGCCGTAAACATAAGCTCGTTCTGCCAGTGGGGACTTCCGCTTCTGGGGTGTACGGAGCGACGGTTGGTTTGAGGGCTGGAGTCTCCAGGTTAGTTGCGAACGAGTCGTGTTTGCGGTAAAAGCACTCTTCTAAGGGTCCAGTCCGTAACCAGGTGTGGTAAGTATGTACGTACGATTATGGATCAGCTCTGGTTTGCTTGGCAAGGTGCATTTGCCCGGTTGTAATGTCTGTTGGCACATGAACTTCTGGCGAATAGGAACAGATTTGCTGAGCCGTGTCACACGGTGCCATCCTGCTACTGTAATATACAAGCAAGGTGTCAAGCGCCCACCCTCCGGGGACTCACCCTTGTTTCCGCCGTTTGGAAACCATCTCCTCCCATTACATCCCACCAATTTGGTACCGTGACGGCGTGTTACCCTAGAGTTCCAAACCACCTTACCTACCTTGATTATCTCAGAAATCTGCAGCCCCTCATCAAAACCATGAGCACCCCAACAATCAGTGACGCTCCCGCCAGCGCCACAGCCACTGGGCAGGACATACCCTCGCGCGAGGAGCTGATAGCTGCGTTGGCTAGCTGCACCACGACCGCTCCGCAAGAACTACCTTCGCACGGGGAGCTGATAGCTTTGATGGCCGCGCGGACCGTGGAATTGCAAAAGCAATACACATGGGCCGATCTCGAACCTTGATCAGAAATGGTGGGTGCCGGTCGTGGACTTCGGCTTGTTGCTGGTACGCACCTTACTCTCTTTTGTTCTTTCTTTGGGATCAAGTCATGCGCACTCGTACGCTAAACAGGGTTCAGAATGCTCTTCCTCAAAAAATACGCGCCCGGGTCAACGCCATCTTTGCGAAGCTCATCCAGGACAAGTTTGCCCCCGAGACCGCGACTGAGGCGCGCCAGCAGTTGAGGGAGCTGCTCCAAGCAGAGTATCCCGAGGTGATGGAGAAGGTCAACGAGGCCTTCTTTGTCAAGCATGAAGCGCTGTTTGCCGAAATTCACCGCCAGATGCAGCGGGTTGGCCCGCTTCAAGTTGGGCGTGCAGGTGGAGAGGAAGGAATCCAGCCGTTGTCAGATAGTCCCTGATGTAGTGCTCGTGACGGTTTCTCGGTCAACCCCGTCCAGCACGAGAAGCTCAGGCTAGGACACATGAGGGGCGCCGTCCCACGGCAGCAAACAAAGTCAGTAAGTCAGCTGGTAGTCGTATTGGCAAATCGAGGTGCCTAACCAGTTGAAGCATCTGCTTGCACCACTTGGGCGTTGTGTTATCAACCCCATAGCCAGAATATATACAATGCGAGAACATATAAAGAGAACTACACGCATCCTCTCCCATTAAGGCTACCGTTAGCAGTCTAGATGAAGAACTGGATCGAATTTCTTTCACTATCCTCCCTCACTTCCCTATATCGCTAATGTTTTTCGTTCAATCAGTATCATCCTTCTCCTCCTCCACCCCTTTTTCCAGTTTCTCCTCCCTGTCTTCCCCGTCAGCCCCCTTGTCCTTCTCCTTGGCCTTCTCCTCCCCCTCGATCTGCCTCGCAGCCGCAATCACAATACGATGCTCCTCCTCATCCGACTGCGACCCGGCTAGCGCACCGTTCTCCACCGACTCCACAGACTCCCCAGCTTCCCCAGACTTGCCGGACTTGCTAGACTTGCCAGGAAGCTTATACCACGGCCCATGTATCGCCCCGGCACCAGCACCCACCAACACACCAGGAATAGCCACCACACCGCTAAGGAGCACACCCACGAGGTTGCCCAACCCCATACCCAGGGCGCCCGAGGCGCCGATCCCCGCGGCCGCGCCCTGGCCCCACCCGCTCGCCATCAGCCGGGCCTTCTTGCTCTGCCCCCGCGCCTCAACCTCCTTGTTGTAGGCCGCCTGGAACAGCCGCTCCCGCTCGGCCGGGTCCTTGATGGCGGCGGCCTGTGCCCTGAGCGTGTCGGCTGCGTCCTGAAGCCGCTTGGCCGCCCTGGCCGCCGAGACGGCTTGGGCAACTTCTCCGGGGGGGAAATTGGAGGGGGTGGATTCGGATGTCATTGTTCCCTGGAGGGGTATGAGACTGAGGTAGAGACGGCAGGTTGGTGAGGGGAGTCTTGTAGATAGATCAGATCTTCCGTCGCTAAGTCAGGGGGTCGTGGGGTCAGGGGGTAAGGTACGATGACGACATTCGGCGTCTCCCAAAGTCGCGCCCCACTGTTGGGGTTACGCCAACTGGGAGAGTTCCTGTCGAGCAGTCACCTGCTTTGTCACCGACCTGCTGTCACAGACCTGCCTCATGGGGTTTGGAGGCCAGAAGGGAGAGCCCGGAATGCCCCTGTGGTGCATTGCCGGTTGTCCCCGGTTGGGCTTGAAAAGAGCAACATCTAACCATAAACTCTCAACCTACGACAGAAGGTTAGATTGTCCTCAACCAAGCCAACGCCTAAACCACTTCACAGCCTGCTCCTCGCTCTGCTCCCCCCGCTCCCGCTGCATCGGATCCCCAGGATCCCCCCTCACCGCAAACCCGTGCTTCGCCCCAGGGTACACGACTGCCTCGTGCCTCTCCTCCCCCAATTCTGCATTCTTCCTCTTCAAAATCCCCACCAGCGTCCTCATCTTGTCCCTCCCCATCCACTCATCATTATCCCCGTTCGCCACGCTCAGCGGCCGCATTACCGCCTCCAGATCAGCAGGGAAACAGACCTGCGCGGGGTGCGCGGTAAAAGCGCAGTCGACCAGCGGGTACTCTACTACTAACACCCCGCCGCCGTAGTCGTCGACAGAGACGACTACCTTGTTCGCAGGTGTGTCGTGCGTCAGCAGCACCGCGTGGAGCCCGCCCCAGCAGAAACCGGCGACGCCGAGCTTGGTCGAGGGGAAAGCGGTGCGCTGGGCGGTCATGAAGGCCTGGATGCGCGGGTAGGCGAGGGCGCGGCGGTTGTGTAGAAACAAGCGCACGAGGATGGGCAGGAGGAAGAGGAGGGAGAGGCTGGTGCGGACCTTGTCGAGGGCACGGGTGAGGAGGTTGGCGGTGGGCGGAGGGGGTTTGGCTTCGAGCAGCGGGAGGGTTGACTCGGGGATTGCGCGGCCTGTGTTTGCATAGTTAGTGGGTTTCATGGCATTTCGTGTGCAGTTTCGCTTGGGGTATGGGTGACGGGGACTGAATCCATACCCTCCAGGAAGTCGGGCACGTAGACGGTGCAGGGGACGCGCTTGGCGTAGGCGTCGGCGAGGGCGCGCGTGTTGCGCAGCTTCCAGCCAAAGGCGTCGGTGAGGATGACGACGGTTCCGAGCGGCGTGACGCCTGGGTCAGGGGTTACAACGTAAGTTGGGACGCTGTGGATGGTTTTCTCTCTGCCAGTCGGGGTCACGTCGCCCCGGAGAGTGCCTGTGAAGCAGTCGCGGCACACCGGAGCCTGCATTGTAGTTTATCGTACCCAAGAAGAAGAATTTCGGATTGAAATGGGCGTCCGTTGGTTGTGTCGCGCAGTTTGGGCCCAGACAACTGAGAGAGTGCTGTCAGCGGCAGAAGTGTGAAAGGATTTAAAGTCTCTAACAGTCCGGAATCAGACTCCGGATTGGAAAGTTGGCAAGTGATTGCTAAATGGGTTTTGCTACTGTACTTTGCCAAGAAAACGTGTTTCGGCGGGGAATTCTGAATGCCACTTGATGATATTTTGCCATTGGATTGATTGATTTTATAAGAATAATCGATTCCTAACTGTTCAGACATCCCATCCCTTTCAATTTTGACCTAATGTCGCTCACTGCATTACTTGACCGCTATGTTTGGCCTCGGTCATCTTCTTCTCCTCCTCTGTCTTTTCCCGCAGAGTCACCCACATCCGCATGCAGTCCACCTTGGCGGCCTTGAACCCCAGGTCAGAGTTCGTGTTGCAGTAACTCACTACATCAGACCTGCAAGGCGCGGGCGGGTCCAGCCACACCTTCTCAACAGCCTTTGTTCGAGGCCTGGATGTCAATTCCTTGGTACCCAGCCTCGGCCATTGTGTGCATCACATGGTGCGCCAAAGCTCTGGAGAGTCCTTTGTGGACATGGTCGCCGCGAATACAAGTCCGCTGCGCTTGACAACCTTGCCTTCTCCTGCTTTTCCGCCCGGAGGTCTCCAGGCAGTTCCCGTACTGTCTACAAGCTCGTTTTTGAGACCCTCTCGGATGGCCTTGAGACCTTCCAGGATCCTATCCATCGACCGGTGCCCTTCAGGAGGCTGAGTCTTGTGTTTTGGCAGCGTCCTGGGATAGGGTGATGGCAATCAGGGGAAAGTCCATCTGCTCCAGCAGTTGCTCGCGGGAAGCCGACGTGTCGTTGCTGTTCCAGTGCAGCTGTCCTTCTCCTTCAGTGTCTGCGCGTCGCGGCGTCCAGTTTTGGATGAAGACGCCGTACGAGAGCCCCGATTCGATGCAGTATTTTGCGGATGGACGGTTGGACTGGACCAACTCATAAGCCCGCTTGGTTTTCATTTTCTGAAGCTCCTCAAGGGTTGGCGCATCTGGAAGCTCCACTGACCAGATGGGAGAGTCAAAGGCCATGGAGTGGCCGACAACGGCGGTCACCCATTCGAGATGCTCCAGTCTCAGTAGACTGATCACGCATCCGTCGGCTAGTTGCGCCTGCGCGTTAGTTGCCATTGTGATGATATAATAGAATACTTTCGAGGTCGTTGTGCCGCACCCACATCATGGTGTTAAATTTTTCGAGTTTGTATACTCCCATCCCTGCCAGGAATCTGCGTTCGGGCCTTTCCCTCCAGTGTTCAGCGATCAGGCTCTGACTTTGCACAGGAGCCATTGACCACTTGACCTGTGACTTGATCATCAGCTGGCCGCTTCAACAACATAGCACAGTTGTGTGAGAATAATGCCTCGAACGTTGGACGCGGCGCCAACAGTGCTTTTCTTTAGGAACAATGTGATAGTTGGCATCATTTGTCCTCCATCTGGGCAGTGGGCTGCTACTCTCTGTGACTTTCTTAGAATTGCGGCTCACAAAGTGTCTTTGTGCTGGCTGGCCGCGTAGGCTCATTCGGGGCCAGCCAATGTCATATGACCTTGATCACTCTTGTGTTCCCGGAACCTTTGGTCGGTTTAATGATGTACCCGGCATCGATGCGGTCAGCAGCTGCTCATAGGCAGGACAAGTGCTCCCCATGGTCTGATGTGGACAGAGCACATGGTGCCCCGACTCTTCTGTGTTGGCCACCAGCCAGGTTACCATCACTTGTCAGCAGAGCGTCTCCAAGGACCCGGAATGGTCCATGGCTGTTGCTGTGCCTTGCGGGCGTGCCATTATGAGAGCCGGAGCGTACCACAGTGAGGGCTGGCAGTAGAAAATGAAGCTGAGGTCTGGAAAGGGAACAAATATATTTCTCTATTTACTTCCGCCTCTTCCAGACGGACAGCCCGGAGAAGCCGTCGGGGCTTCAAGACGGACTCTCCGCGTGCAAAGTGGATCTGATCGGTATCCAGAACCGTTGTGGGTCTCAGATCCTTGTTCCTGGATGCCTTGGCTGTGGATAATCTCCGATCCGCCAAGACGCGTAGCGCTTCCTCGCGAGCATCGCTTAGCCCTTCGGAGATGATCAGGGTTGTCCGACCCACGGGCCCACGTGGGCGCCGTTACAGCGTCAGTCGACTTGTTCGTTTTCGCTCTGAGCGCCGTGGTGCGGGCCGCATGTTTCAGGTGGCTGCACTCGGGAATGGGGCTCAAGCGCGTTGTCATGCAGCAGCCCACTTCGCTAACGACAGGCGAGGATTCAGCAAGGAGGATTCCATGCTGCAGATTCTCTGGAAGCGCCGGGAAACCACTACGACGGCAGCCGCGCCTAAGTGTCGCCTGTCCACGGTTGAAAGGTAGTATGATCCACGCACATCACGACAGGGCTACATGTATTGGCGTCTATGTCGGGAGTCTCGGGACAAGGACGCACCTGTTCGCACCTCAAAACCTCACTATTGTATATCCATGATCCGTGGAGATACCATGGGAGCGGGTCTTGGTTTGGATCTCACGGAGTCACAATGTCCACGGGGCACACTGTCATAAATCAGGGCAGAGAGTGATCCCAGGTTTACTGTGAGTAGTCCGCCAAACTCAGATTGGCGGGCCCCTTTTCTTCGTGATGTTAGCTCGAGGAACAAGGGCCGGACCAGGTCCACCACGCCCCTGCATTGGCCCTGACAGTGGATTCATCCCTCATCTCGCATCCTTTCAGGAACAAGGGCATGACTGATGATTGCTAAGGTATATATCAACTGTGGCCAGCTCAATCTCCACGGTCTCTCCTCATCCTCTCCTTGAAGGACACCTGGGACGCGACCTGTCATTCTTTCTGTACATTGTTCTCGCCACTTTCGTTCAACTCTTGCGGCCTTGACGGTCTTTGCAGCTTGCTTCATCTATCTTGCCGTCATTTTACTTCCCAATACACTCCTTGATTACTTCCCAGGCCCACCAAGATCATCCCGAAATCGACATTGTACAGCTCACAACCCGACCATCATGCATCAGCACGCCTTCCTCATCAGCCTGTTGCCCCTGGTGGCTGCGCACGGCTTCCTCGCGTCTCCTCCAGCCCGGCGTCCGGGCTCCGCCTACCGCGCCACCTGCGGCGAGCAGCCCTTCTACCAGCAGAGCGCCGACATCAACGGCAATGTCCAGGGCATCCAGCAGATCGTCGGCAGCGACAAGACGGCCGCCTGCAACCTCTGGCTGTGCAAGGGCTTCGTGTTTGAGGACAACCAGAGCAACGTGCAGACCTACTCGCTCGGCCAGACCATCGACATACGCGCCACCATCGCCGCCCCGCACACGGGCTACGCCAACGTCTCGGTCGTCAAGACGAGCACCAACACCATGATCGGCACCCCCCTGATCGAGTTCCAGAACTACGCCTCCAACGCAGGCGTCGCCGCCAACAACACGGCCTTCAGCGTCACCCTGCCCCAGAGTCTCGGCGGCGAGTGCACCGCTCCTGGCGATTGCGTGCTGCAGTGGTTTTGGGATGCCCCCGATATCGACCAGACGTACGAGTCCTGCGTCGACTTTACTGTCTCGGAAGGCGGGAGCGGCTCGGCGCCGTCTTCGTCGGCTGGTGCCACATCTGCTGCCGAGACCACCGTCGCGACCAGTGCCCCGCCTCTCACCACTGCCACAGCCGTTGCCACTACCTCGACTGATGCCGCCCCATCCGCCACTTCGACTGCCGCACCCGGCAGTGGTGACGAGGAGTGCCCTGCGGACGATGGTGAGGGAGATGAAGATGAGGGCGAAGAGGGCGACGACGAGGAAGAGTGCCCGGCCGATGGCGAGAATGAGGGCGAGGGCGAGGGTGAGGACGACGAGTGCCCCGCTGATGACGGCGAGGGCGACGACGACGACGAGGAGCCCGCTGCCACCACCACTATCGGCGTTAAGGACCTCTCCACGACGGCTGCCTACACCGTCCCTCCCACCAGTATCGTCACCATGGTGGTTACCTCTACTGTGACCACCGAGCGGGTTGTCACTGTCACGGCTCCGGCTACTGCCTGCAACTGAGGCCGATGCAGTACATAAAAAGGGGATTTAGAGGTGGGGGTGTGCGTTACTGCTTGCATAGCGGGTTCGTTTCTTGTACATATGTCGTTACCTATTCCTTCGTAGCATCAGGAAATGCATATATACCTTGTCACCGCTGTATGTCCACCTGCCAGCCGAGGAAGGATGCATCCTTTGCGCACTTGCGGTCGAGGTTCTCGTCCATTGCATCGTTGGGCCGATCCACGGTCTGTCGGTTGTGAGAGTTTAAGTTCAAGTCAGCAGGAATTACATGGCCATCGCCGCAAGCAGGGACTTCGTGAGGTTAATGTTCCACTGTTTTTCCTTCTTGGTCATCCACTGGCGGGGCAACTCCTCATGCCTTCAACGAGTCTCCCAAGGCCCACTGACGCCGGTAAGCGTATCCCCGGGTTGACTCGCACCAGGCGTGTACTGAGCGCGATGTCGTGTGACATAAACCAGCTAGCCACCGCCCAGTACGGGCCCCCGCCCTCGGGAGAGACACCCCATTGCAGGACTAGCTGAAGGATATATGTCGAGGCCGAAAGGTTTTGAAAGAGACTTTGGAGGCCGTTGAACAGGTAGACGAGCAGCCCATGATGCGTGCGCGGAGCGGGAGGGACCGTTCAGGTGGTGGTGAAGGGGCAGATGGTCTCGAACCCTTCAAAAAAAGCACTCAGTTGCGCGCTCGTGCGTTGGGGCTTGCGGACAACTCGGGAGCGCGCCGTCGACCTGGGCCTCGCCTTGTTCATCCGGGCCGATAACAGGGCTTTGTGCGCTGACCGGAGGCCGCCAGGAGAGATGATGATGTCGTCGTTCTGAATGCTGGGGTCTGCCATGAATTACTTGAATGAGATCGTTATGAATATGCGAAGATAGGTGGTGTCCGTCGACCTTTGCCAATATACATGGGAGAAGGATACCCAGAAAATATTGTTGTTATCTGATATGACCAACCTGGACGAGTTTAAGTCCCTTGTCTTTTTCAATTGGCTGTGACCTGGGCCGAAAGCCGCGTGATCATGGCGATTCGCCATATGATCTTAACCTGAAGTCCCAACTCTCTTCCTAAAATCCAGAGCGTCATTTAACCGCGCGGAATGATGTAATCTGCATCTTGGAATAGTGACCTCTGGCCCAAACTTTTAACTCTGTCAAGACTCCATGGCCGGGACCTAAGCCTCTCCTCTTCAATCTTAATATCGGGAAGGAGTGTGTAGGGGCAAAACGGGGGTGCGACGTAGAAAAAAGCCCATGGTGGTGGAGAGATAGTGATGTTATTGGTACGGGCTTTGGATACGTCCTCACACTTAGGTAGACGACGTTCCACCGTTTTGACAGAGTAAGGTCAGATACGCGTGTGGAGTGGGAGGAATGGGAAGCACGCCTTGGGGTCAGCAGCAGCGAGCAATGATGGCCCGGGCTGCCTCGCGTCTTCGGAGCGGCGGAGCGGGATGGCCTTGTCGGATCCAAGTCCGTCATGTTTTGGTGGTGGATGCCATGTCAGGTGGCGTGTGGTGGGAGTTGACCAGGAGGTGAGTATGTTGCGAGAAGTCAATTGCAAAGGGAGGGCGAGGAGCAATGGCAGAAGGCTCCGCCGAGGCGGCCAGATCTACCACTTTGAGAAGGTATGCTCCTTCCTCGACGGCCTCTCGGGCTGCACGTCGTCGGCTCGCGGCAAGAACGCGTCAGGGTGCAGCCACTGCTTCTTACCTTCTTGTGAGTTTCTGTCCATTCCCCAACTCATCCACAACTCATCTCACATACCACCACTCCGAGCTAGCATTATTTACCAACGTAGGGCTCTCCCTGGACACCGTTTCTTCAGCCCCTGCAGTATCCTCAGCCCTCTCGCCAGACATCACAATCATGGACACGCAAGACCCAACCGCGAACGGTGTTCGCCCCGAAACCCAACGCTTGCTGTGGCTGATGCCGGACCACCCAATGTGCCACGAAGCGCTCTGCATGGCAGACCAGTCGCTCTCTTTGCCCGTCGTCTACCACAGCTTCCGCGTCTGGCTCTACGCATGCGCTCTCATCCAGGACGACGCCCCGGATTATTCCGTCTCGCTCGAAGACCGGGCCCAGCTGGCGGCGCACCAACGCGACCAATCACCCCATCTCCTCTCGCCAGTCAGAGTTGACCCCCCCACCCTCTTCGTCGCCTGCATCCTCCTGCGCTACGGCTCGGCAACTCAATTCGACAACCACCGGGCCCGCTTCGAGGTCATATCGGCCGACCAAGTCGCCCACGTCCTCCGCAAGCACTGCCTTACCCAAGTCATCGTCGACGAGATGTGGCTTGCCGTCGCCTTGCACACGAGTACGGGCATCGCCGAGGCCATCCCGGGCGTTCCGCGCGCCGTCAAGCTGGCGCTGCTGACGGACGAAGGGCTGCGTCCACCCCCGCAGAGGAGCCTCCTGCCGGGCGGGCCGGACACGGCCAACTGGATGGTGGGGGCACTGGCTGGCGGGTGCATGGTGAGACAACAGCCCGGCCGCAAGGACGACCCGCAATATAGCCTGCAGGTGCGGCTGGCGATGCAGTCGAGGAAAGATACGGATCCGGTTATGGAGAACCTCAAGGCGCCGAAGGGGTCGCTTGCGGCTGACTTGGTCGGCGCGTGGAGGACGTCTGAGGGGTTGTTGCGTCGGGGTCAAGGAGGAGGGGGAGGACGTGGGTTTGAAGATGGAAGCGGCGGGAACGGTGATGGGAGAGAAGGGAATGGTGCATTGGTGGGAGAGGTGGAAGAGGTGGGAGACATGGTGGGGGAGATTACAATAAAGTTCAAAGCCTCACCCGCCAGGGGTGATCTTCCGACTTTCGCCTTCTAATACCGAAAGGTTGTAGGAGAAGTGGTGGGAGAGGCGGGACGAGCGGAGGAGTGTGTTGCAGTAAGATGCGTTGTTGGACTAGCGTGGGAGACGAGTTGGATCAGCGATGATAGGGAACTACCTAAGTGTTCTGATAAATTATATTGCCTCACTTCATTGTTCGATTCTTGTACCCGGTGCTTGTGTTCAGACATGTCTTCTGTCCTCAAACATTGGAAGTATGTTTACCGCCCCTCGAGACTGCCCCACCTCCCTCGAAACCGGAATTGCTGTTTTCAGACACTACCCAAGACATGCACAATATCCATCGCTACTTCAAACGGTCGGGTAGGTCTCGGATATCGCACCTTCGGGTCCTGGGCAGAGCTGTCTACTGACTCAGGATTATTGCATCATAAGGCACCTTGGTGAACCCAAAGTTCAGACGGCGTCGAGACTCCCACAGTGATCGATCGGATTGGCAGTACCAGGGATGTACATCCGTACTGTGTCTAGTAAGGTCGGAGGCGCCCGAAAGACTTGTGCTGGCGCTCCTGACTTCTTGAATGCACTCCGTCAGATTTTTATGGCCACAGGTTGTTGTCCTCGTTACACGGCGCCGGACATGGCTAGGATTCGCATCGGGACAAAAGCCGAGTGGTCGCCGCGGTGAGATCTCGGGCACCAAAGCTTATTGGTATAGGCTTGTAGTAGCAGAGAATTTGGTTGACGTTGTGGAGCCCGGTCTTGCATCGGTGAGCACGTCTGCGGGCGAAGATGTGACGATGTCTCAAGATTGGCCGAATATTTGCCCCGCGGTCAATATGCTTGTGCTCCTATGGATAGGCGGCCATGTCGACATGTGATTTGAACGGTGAAACACGTATCAAATCGATAGCTCGCGTTGCACCCCTCGGAATAAAGAGGGCCTCCTCATGAAGGCTCTGAGCATTTTGGATACCGGGTTGCGTCTCTCACCCGTCAGGCATCAGCAGTTATATAACGTCGGCGAGCCAGCCGCAGCTTGGTTATAATTATTCACGCTCAGCACCGCCATCGGACACCACACGCCATGCTCCTCCATCTCCTACTGCTCGCCATCCCCTCCCACGCCGCCCCCCGTTCATCCCTCGGCAACATCGATTTCCCCGACCCGTCCCCCGCCTACGACCCTCACTCCCAAGCCTGGTACGCCTTCGCAACCCAAGGCAACGGGCACCACGTTCAAGCAGCCAGAGCGCCCTCCGCACTGGGTCCCTGGTCATTCCTGTCCCAAACCGATCTCCTTCCAGACCTAGGCCCCTGGGTCAACGCCGCCGACCCGCGCGTCTGGGCGCCCGACGTGCAGTACCTCAACGCCAGCAATTCCTTCGTCCTGTACTACTCTGCCCTGGCACGAGCCTCCCCTCGCGGGAGGGAGTTGCACTGCGTCGGCGCCGCGACTTCCCGCAGCATCACGGGGCCTTACAGGCCCTTTGATTCGCCGCTAATTTGTCCGCTGAGCGAGGGCGGTGCGATTGACGCGGCTGGGTTTTACGACCAGTCTGACGGTTCGCGGTGGGTTCTTTACAAGGTCGACGGGAATGCTCTCGCGCCGGGCGGGCCGTGCGGGAATGCCGGGCCTGGACCGGGCAAGCCCACGCCGATCAGGCTACAGCGGGTTGATGAGGCGGATGGGGTGACGTTGATAGGGAGGCCCGTGACGGTCTTGGATAGGGATCCTCGGGTGGACGGGCCGCTCGTGGAGGCGCCAAGTTTGGTGAGGGAGGAGGGGTTGGGGGGAAACAGGAGGTTTGTGTTGTTTTATTCGAGTCGTTGTTTCAACACGGTCGAATATGGTGTCAATTATGCGGTGTCAGAGGACATCCAGGGCCCGTATGTGAGAATGAGCCAGTTGCTTGGGGGACGCGGACCAAGGGGCACGCTCGGGCTGGAAGCGCCCGGAGGTGCGACGGCGGTGCCGGGGGGCGGGGGCCTGTTGTTCCATGCTGACTGTCCGGCAGGCCGGTGCATGCATGAGACTAGATATGTGGTGGAGGGTGGAAGGATCCGGATTGCTTGAGTATACCCCTACAGGTAGCGTTAGGTATTGTGCTCCACGAACGAAGACTGGCTGACGAAGTAGGCGTTTGAAGTCTCTGGCGCTGATTGCATCGACTGGCTCCGATTTGTTCTTCCATATGTTTGCAGCGGTTGTTGGGATCCTTGTTTCCCTCACTTCTGCCGGATGCGCCGGATGCTCTGGATCGCCTGGACCAGCGCTGGGTAAAACCTGATGGCAACCTTGACGTCTCCCGACGCGCTCGGGTGGATGCCGTCGTACGGATCAGCGCTGGTAAAGTTCGTCCATTGGTCGACCACCCAGACTGGGGAGGCCGTTAAGTTCTTGTGAGCAAAATACGCCGGTATCGCTGGGTTGAGTCCACGGACATGGCGGTCCATTGCAAGGGGCGGAAAGTATTGGGCGACTATGAACATGCGATCAGGTCATGCCAGTACCATATTCAGGCCGGATTGACTGACGATTATCCTCACGGCCGGGCTGCTGTCCCGCATCTGGTCCACCAGCCCGCCGAGCGTTTCGAGGACTTGCGGTGGGCTGCGCATTCCCCTCAGGATGTCGACGGTGCCGCCGAGAGGCATGGTGACGATGTCGGCGAGGTCCTGCTTGAGCCAGTCGACCAGCATGTTGTAAGAGGCAATATCATTATTATTCCTACACCGTCGTGCCCTAGGGCGTGCCGGACCTTCAACAACTTACTCTACAGGAAAACCGCGCCCTCGTGGGCCGGGTGAAAAACCCATATCGACAATCAAGGATACGATCAGTGTGTGATCCTGCAAATACAAAGTGAGAAGGCCTCTTGGCCTTCGAAGGAAAGGGATATCAGACCGCGAGCTCCAGCTC